GAAAGAGTCAACATGTGGCAGTTCCAACAATTTTGCACCAATAGGCTCCGGAGATATAAATTCTTCAATTACATCCCATAAGTTATACAATGTTGCAAAATTGGAGAAACCGAGAGAAAAATCATCAAATCACCCAATCAGATTTTAGCCTTTTAAATCTCACTTAGCCCCTATATATTTATTTGTTACGTTTGACTCCATCAACAATTTATAATTTTGCAGATTAACCCTCTTAAGCTCGAAGCAAGAGGACAATCTCGAAGATTGGAGTTTCGAGAGATGTATTCTCGAAGGGGCAAGCATCTCTCGAGCACCTTACTACTACTCGAAGTGTTCGAGAAGACGTATCTCGACTTTTATTTACTCAACTACTACCTTCTCGGAATCGAGGTAACACCTTCTCGAATAATCAATTTATCTCGAGATCGAGGTACTTCTCAAATATTGTCATTATTATATGCTTTTCGAGCATATGTTCATATATCACTAACATCATAATTCTTGTTATAAGCATATTACTTTTATCATATGACTATCTTTTTGATACATATATCATACTATATTGCATATCAACGAAAGACCCGCTAGACGGGCACCGGGTTTAAATAAGACCTGCTTGACGGGCATGACCCACAAAGACCTGCTAGACGGGCAACAGCCAAATAAGACCTACTAGATGGGCACATCCACAAGACTTGCACAACGGGCACTATAGGCTTCTCACCTTCAAATAAGAGAATCTAGGCGTCATCTTCCTAATTCGGCATACACAGGCTTCCCCCTACCAATCAAGAACTCACTAACACAAAGACCTCCTCGAGGCATTTTATTCTCTTTATCTTTCTATAGGTGACACCCGAGAACTGGGGCAACACCACGAGAAGACGTCAACACTCGTAGTAACCCATATCCTTCTCATCAAGTCTCGAGAATATGGCTTGCTAGGGGCAATTGACGAGTCCAAAATAAACCCTAAGCCTATTGGGCCTAGGATTAGGTTACTTGGAAATTAAGCCACCGCCTAAACCTGTTCCGCTAGGTTTCAGGAAACAGGTAACACTACCTCTATATAAAGAGGTGGTGCCTCTCCCATAATACATATCTTTTACCTATCTTCTACACCTTCTACACACGATATACATCCTTCTCTCTCTACTCTCTTTATTCCCTTATTGACTTAAGTATCGAAGAATCTACCCTCGAGAGACACCCGAGGCTCTATCTTGCAGGTTTTAGACCGTCTGCCGCTGCCTAAGTCATCATCGCCGCCCGTCCTAAGCACCGTATAAATCCAAGCTTCATTAATTTTTATGAGACGGAGGGAATAATAGTTTAATTTTCAGGACAGCCTTTTTCGTTTTTGTTTTGGTACTATGACCTCGTCATCTTTATGACTACAATTTCATGACTTGATAATTACGTTCTTTCATCTAACGGATGTAAAACTAAAAGTTACGTACACGGTATGTACATGTACCCAAAAAAAAAAGAAATGAAAGTTAGTAAGCACATCAAAACCTTAAAAAAAAAACATTAAATCTATTTATAAAGGCGAAATGCATGTTTCTTTAATGTCATTGATAGATAGTTATTAACATTTCGTGTTGGTTTAAACTTTTAAATCCAAATTAAATATTAACATTTTTGCATATGGTGTTCTCAATGTATCTTCTCCCGGTAGATTAACTCCAACACACATAATCTTATATATTATTCTAGAAAAATGTCACTATATAGACTATAAAATATTGAATAAAATGAATTATTTTCTAAAAACTATAGAGTATTATTTATGGATATGGTACCGCCCTGCACTTTTTTTAAAAAAAAATTATGAAGTTGTTAGAAACAAAATTATGAAATTAAAAGGAATTACTCGCCACATGTATCTCATGAGCTGACATTATTTCGGCAAACTAAGATTACGGTATTGATCAACCTAACAAACTAAGGTCCGTTTCTTTGTCGACTTTCACACTACTTATCGATATTGTTCATTTGTTCTCCTGTCTCAAAAAATTGTGCATATTGCATTTTATGATTTACATTGTTTTTTTAGTATAAATCTCAAAACTTAATGTGATGTAATAAAGGGAACAATATTTAATTCGAGTAAGTAAAACATGTGGCAGTAAATCACGATTTTGCATCAAGCATGCATGATGCATGTTACATAAGAACCGTCTAAAATCTAACTTTATTCATAGCTAGCTAGCTAGTAAAGTTCTCGAATTCCGAAAATAATTCCCCCAGGTCATGGAACTATATGAGCAGATTATGGCAAGTTGGTCAACAATTTTCATTTTCTTTTTTCTATATTCTTAATCCAATAAAACCATTTTCACTTGAGTATAGAGAAGTGGAATTAATAATAGTGTAGTTTGGATTTCAAATTCCTAATTCTTTGCTTTTGTTTAGGCATAGTTTTTATCTTCCAGTTACATCATACAAATATAAAGAAAATTTTCTTCGGCTCCCATTTCATGGCCTTTCCTGATAGCCAAATTCCCGAAGCTATGACCAACTGGCTTTACACATTGTTTTCACCGAGGGCTAGTTCAACGGCCGCTCTCAGCCTCGTCACAACCAACATTTAATACTTCCGTGATCCCGTTGAGAAAATGAGTTTGGTATTCAACAGTTACATTCTTCCTCGTGATGATCATATTCTAATCGTTAAGGATAATGGATGATGAAATTAAGGACGCCCGTATCCAAATTCCTTCATGTTTAACGTTCTAGTACTATGTTCACTTCCCTATGATATGGAAATTGGCAACGTTTCAAAACCAATTAACAATGAGGAAAATAACGAATGACATTTATATATTGATACACACCTATGTTACAAATTCAGTTTACAAAAATTTCTTTTTTTTCTTTATATTAATTAAAAACATTTTTTTTCCTCGATCTACTTTCATATCTTTTCTTAATATTGCTTGTATCTGTCTAAAAAATTTTGTAAAAATTTGATTAGAGGGCAATAGAACAAGTCAAATTAATAAAAGGGTTATGACCTAAAAATATTTTTTTATGAAAGGTAGTAAGTTATTTGTCAAAAATTACAAAATTAATATAGTTTTATAATATAATTACCCTTTTAAAGTCATGAGATACATAAAATAAAAATCATTCTCCAGTTGTTCAATACTTTACTCCTTCGGATTTAGGGGTTAAAACAGATGCAAATGGATTTGGATGGAAATCCGTTCCTATTTATGACCCAGTTGTTAAGGATGAAACTGATCATGCCTTCAACACCATCCAGCAGAGATCTGATTCATTGGTTTCATATGAGTTTCATGAGATAGTCCATGCCAGTACTAAGTTGAGTGAAGAATTGACCAAGTTTGATACGCTGCGTAAGTTGAAGAGGGGAGCGAGGAAGAGAAGCTGAGGGTTGAGGTTCACAAGAATAATAATGATGGCCCCTTTCTTGATCTTTTTCGCCGATCTGATGATTACTTTGATCTGTAATATCTAGATAGCTAAATATATTACAATTGCCTTGAAAGAAGAAAATATTGCTGTGTGTTAAAGTTTTGTGTTGAATGGCATATAAAACGAAGGTATAAAATTAGGTTGAAGGCCAAGAAAAATAAATAGCATGGGAAGAATAAGGCTGATACTGTCAATTCAAAATTTGTTTTATTTTATGATTTTTGACAAATAAATTACGTCCGTTATAATTCATATTTTAAGGTCATACTCTGATTAATTTGATGCGTTCTACTGTCCTTTAACTAAATTTTTCCAAAAATTTTTGCCTTTCTTGCTTGCACCAATGTCATAAAAATCATTAAATGGGTTTTCACAAGTTTTATAATGCCATAATTATTGATCAAAACTAACAAATTAATCTAAATCAGTTTATATAGGAGATTTGAGATTTTCGTATTTAGTTTTATTTCAGTGTCGAGGAGAGGAGTCGTAGAGCAATAGCGGATCTAGAACAAAAACTGAACGGGGCCGGTAAAGACATTTGATTATTTCTCATTATACTAATCATAAAATAATATTTCTCACATGAGACCATTCGAATGGGTTCTTTTTTCTTTTTTTTTTGAATTATCGAATCAATTTTTTCTTCTTCTTCTTCTTCTTCTTTTTTTCCATGTTACACAAAAGTAATGGCATGGGCAGATACAGATTTGTTTTGTTGAAAAAAAAAGGATATGAGGGAAAGTCGACTAGTATGCATTAAAATGTTTTAGATACTATCTTAACTTTTTAAAGTAGGAAGTAGTGCACTTTAAACTTTTTACTACGCCATAGTGTATTATTAAAATGTGACTATATGTTACATAATACTCTAGATGATTGTATTGTAAAAATGCGTGAAATACAAATGCTTTAGTAGTTAGTACCATGATTATAGTTTTAACTAACTGATGTATTCACAAAAAAAAAAAAAAACACTTATGCTCGGACCTAAATTACATGTCCACTTTGTATATATGGGCCATTGTTAATTGGCCGAAACGTAAGATAATTCTAGCTACAAAACCAAAAAAGCTCATCAAAACACTACATCTGATTGCTAAAACAGAAATATTAATATAGAATTCTCTATTAGAGTTAAAAATATATATATATTATACATATAAATAATATATATTTAATGGGGCCATAGCCCTAAATCCGTCAGTATCTAAGACTATGTTTGATGTGTCATCTTTTCATTGACTATATGTCAACTGTATAGTACATGTAAAATTAAGCAAATGGAACAAGAATTTTCCCAAAAGAATATAAACAAGTTATTTTTTATGTGTCATCTTCTCGTTGGCTATACGTTTAAGTGCATAGAGCAAGTAAAAATAAGCAAATGGAACAAGAATTTCCATTTATATATAAATAGAGATACTTTTGATGCTTACGAAAGTTTCGTGATGGAAACGGTAGATCTGTGATATTCGTGGATTGTGGCAAGTTGGTTACCTTATATAATATAAATAAATTAATAAATAGATAAAAAATGGTCCAATAATACGAATTTCACTTGAGTATAGGGAAGTGGAATAGTAGTTGCATTTCAATTCCTGATTCTTAGCTTTTGTGCAGGCAAAGTTGTTACGTTTCAGTTGCTTCATGCTTAATATAAAGAAATTTTCCTCGGCTCTCTTTTCATCCTCCTTTTCCAAATTCCATATTTTGATCCCGTCGCTTTGCTTCTTGATTTCCATTCTTCCTTTCCCAAGAACATGATTTCATCTAGTCATGGCCTTCCTGATGACCAAAGTCCTGAAGCTGTGGCAAACTGGCTAGAACAGTTTCCCAATGCAAAACCCGAGCTCACAAAACTCCACTTCTTTCTCAACAACATCCTCGACAAGGATCCTCCGGCGAGTACCCCGGTCGCGAAGGCGAGTACAACCGACAAGACGCCGGAGACAAACTACGGTTTAGTGAGAGCAATAGACGCTCCATTAACCGAGCAGTCTTTTTCCGATCAACCCGACGCGAAGGTTATCGGTTATTGTCAAGGGCTCTATACATTTTCTTCGCAGAAAGAAATGGCCACCCTTATGACCCTTAACTTTGTTTTCACCGACGGCGAGTTCAAAGGCAGCACTCTTAGCATCTTGGGGCGTAATTTGGTGCCGGCAAAGTACCGGGAGTTCTCGGTTGTTGGCGGTTCCGGCCATTTCCGGATGGCGCGAGGTCTCGGCACAGCCAGCACTTATTTTCGTGATCCCGTTAAGGGAGATGTTCTGGAGATGAGCCTCGCATTCCACCGTTACATTCTTCCGAATGATATTCATTCTAAGAGTAATTAAGGATGAAAGATTAATGAAATTAAGGTTGCCATTTTAGTAGGTTTTCAATTTCCTTAAGTGTAACTCTGTTGTACTACGTTCTGCATTGTTGGAATATTTTAATAATAAAGAAACAATTATTACTTACCCATCCTATAAAAATAATTCACATTATAGAATTAGAAGTTGCAACACTTTGGTGATCACTCCTGGATTATCAGTATCATTTGTGTATCTTGTTTCCTAGACTCTAGGTTATGTGATCAATGCATCCTTCTTCATTTCTAGATCCAAGTTAATCATTCCACTGCTTCATCTTTGTAATAATAAGAGTGGTGCTTGAAAATGTTACGTACGGCATTAGAGACACGTAGAATAAGATGCCCAGTGCCGGAAGGTCAAGGCCTAAAGACAGGGGCACCGGCAACTAAAGCTGCCTCAAAAATTTTTCAACTAAAGCGGACGGCACCCTTCGGGGATTCAGAAGAATACTAGGTAAATTGGCTCCTGATACATTCAAAGCAGCCAATACATTATACTAGTATTTATAATCCCACAAAACACAGGCCTTCCATATCTAACATCATCCCAAAAGGTGACAACCAAAAGTCCCTCCGGAAGGCGCAGATTAGCTGTTTAAGGTGGAAAGTACGCCGCCAGTTACATTCTGGATCACCACCTCCCAACCAGGCCCTTTCAGAGGAACCAACGCTGCTGAATCAGAACCTGAAATGAGATCACTCCTATCCAAAACCTTCTCTAGATCATCCTCTGAGATATCTGTCTGTATCCATTTCTCCTCTTCATCTTCTTCATCTCTGAGCAGCGCCAGTAAATCCTCTTCCTGAAAGATGGGAAGTAGTATTTTGATTTTAACATGACCAAACCCTCTTAACAAAAATGAGAAAAAAAGAAAAATAATGGCATTCAGTTTAAATGTGTGGGGAACTGGAAGCAGATGTTCAGAAAAAAACCTCCAATGAGTCCGTTGAAGGCTTGGTTCTTTCTTGTTGGAACTGTCCTTTACCAATCACAACATGCTCGAGCTTTAACTTACTGAATGCTCTTTTCAGCATACGACCCTGGTTGCATTTTAAAGTTAGTCTTCATCAGGCGGGGGGGAAAAACATAATACAACTGGGAAAGAATTGAGAAGTGTACCTCCACCGACTGAGCAGTTGCTAGTCTGTAAACATGAACTGGTTTGGTTTGGCCAATTCTATGGCATCGATCCATTGCCTGTAAATCCATTTGGGGATTCTGCAGTGCAAGTTAAGTGGGTCAACTATAATTAAAGCTCAAAAGTGACCACTGGAAACAAGCTGCATCAAACCATGTTCACATTCAAATTCGACCATGTACTACAAAGAAGATTAATAAGTACCCAATCACTGTCATATAAGATGCACGTATCAGCAGCAGTTAGGTTGATACCCAGCCCACCAGCTCTGGTGCTGAGAAGAAAAATTCTACACTTACTGCTCTCATCATTGAACTCCTTTATCTGTTTCAAACAGAAAAATCACTCCTCAGAAATGTACCTAAATGATGTATTAAGCATATATAAACGGCAATTATCAATTTCGCTGCTCCATACATGATGATTATTGGCACAAATTCTGGAGCAAACTAGTTTTGCTGCTTTATGTAATCAATTCAATTGTTTGGTTATTACAGACATTCACGTATGTAAAACAGGATGATTGCACTGAAATAGAGGAGTCAGATGCTACCTGTCTTCTCCTTTCTTCCAGCTTCACATTGCCATCAATCCTACAAACTTCAAACCCCCTTTCACTGAAATAATACTCAATGATGTCCAAAATCTTCGTCCATTGAGAAAAGATGAGAACCTGCCGCAAAGATATAGTCAAATTCAGAAAATCTGTGATTAAAAGTACGGCCTAAGCGTTACAAGATCTGAATAATTTAACTTCAATTACTTTGTGCTGACGAGCAAACAGCTTGTTCAGCAATCTATCCAACAAGCGAAACTTGCCACACTGCTCAACTATCTCTTCAACTGGCGGATAAAGAACTGTCCATAACACAATGAAAAAAGAGGAAACTTAATAAGAAAAACCGTGTCATCAAAAGTTCAGTCCATAATTGCAAAGGACATACATACATGAATCATCAAAAGCAGACTGCAATAAGTCTGGGTGGTTGCAATTCTTCCGAAGCTGAAGCATCAAATTATTAAGTTTTCCTTTCATGCCTCGTCCTACAATGTCTCATAAACAAAAAAGAGTTACTTTGGTACATAGTTTGAATGTTCAAATTTTCAGGCTCCGTACAAATCTATAATATTTCTACTTTTGAATACATATAAAAACTTACCAGAGGTATTCTTTTCCTTCAAATGACTTTCAAGAGTCTTATTAACTAGGTGATCTGCAAAGGTCTTTTGATGTTTAGTCATGGTAGCATATAATATTATTTCCTTCTTACGAGGAAGCATTTGCTCCACATCTGTTTTCAGCCTCCTCAACAGAAAAGGACGCAAGATTTTGTGCAATTTTGCCACAACCTTCAAAAATTAAAAGGAAAAATCATTACAAATATGTCTAATAGCATATTAATGCTCCCTCAAAAGAAAAAGAAGACTATGACAAATAGCTCCAACAAAAACCATACCTGAGTTCTTCTCTTCTCTTCCATTTCTTCCCTTAAAGTATCATCAATGCACTTCCCAGAAAGATCAAACCTAAATGTAACAAACATTGCAAAATATCAATCAATCATCTCATGATCATGGATCCTATTCAATAATAGATATTAGTTGGTACGTGGTTACTGTATCCGATGCTTATATCCTCCTCTCCCTATCTCAACCAACTTAAAAATGGGTGCAGTGCAATCAGAGAATGAATAGTTTAAATGAGTAACAACGTCTTGCAAATAGTAATGCAAAGGTAAAGTTCAATAGCAAGTGACTTACCATGATTCAAACTCTGTATGAGAGGAGAAGATGTCAGGCAGTATAAAATTTAACAATGACCAAAGTTCTGACAAGTTATTCTGCAAGGGTGTTCCAGTTAATAAAAGCCGATTTTCAACATTCAAGAGCTTTAGCTCCTTGACTAACTTGCATTTTGAATTTTTCAACCTGTGACCCTACAGGGACAAGGAAACAACAAACCAACAAACCAAGTCATGCAAATATATCAGAATGGCATAAAAAGATAGAAGCTTTATCCAACTGTAGATTACCTCATCAACCACAAGATACTTCCAACTATAGTGCCTCAAGTGCTTTTTTGCATCCATCATTGCAACTTCATAGGAAGTGATAACAATGGGGAACTTGGGACCTATTGTTTTTGGCATGTGCTTCCTCCTTATATCATCCCTTTCTTTCTTGTCACCATGGTATATAATTGCATTGACAGAGGGTGTAAACCTACACAAATAATTTGATGTTTTCTTACTGAATCATCCTTAAAAAGCAAGCTTACAACAAAAGGGGAAAAAAAAGTTTTAACATGACCCGAACTTGCTGATAAGATAACAGTAATTCACAAAAACAAAACAGAAAAAAAATAGAGCATTACCGATTTATCTCATTCGCCCAGTTTGAGAGAGTAGAAAGAGGAGCAATGATTAAATAAGGTCCATCTAAACCATTTCCTTTTAAGTGAGCAAGAAAACCAATTGTTTGAATCGTCTTCCCAAGCCCCATTTGATCTGCCAGTATCCCATTCAATCCATTTTGCCACAATGAAATCAGCCACTTAACACCCTTAATCTGGTAAGACTTCAGAGTTCCACCAGTCAAAAGGGGTACCAGTTCAGCCTGCTCTTTCTCAGTTCTCTCCTGCTCTGTGAGGTCAGAATCCTCCTCATAAGAACCACCTTCTTTCGATCTTGTCAGCATGGCTGCAACAGCTCTTTTCGCCTTCTTCTGTATATACAATGAGAAAGCATTATATTTAGCAGGAAAACTTACATTGCCAACAAGGAAAACTGATTCCCAAAATGTTCAAGCGATTTATGCTGTTGAATATTGAGAAAAAAATGTATTTCACCATCATGTACAATCAATGCTCAGAAAATCTATGTGACCATATACAGCTTAAGATTTAGGCAATTTGAGAAATGTTCTAAGTTATAACTGAGAAAATAATGAAAAATTACATTGTTGTAATCTGCCGCTGCCTTCCTTTTCCCACCACGACCTTTCTTCTTCTCTACTGGAGCTTTGTCGTCACTTTCAAGTCCAACCTAATAACATAATCCACCAGAAAACTTAGCCATCAGTGTCATTAACTTAGCAAAAATAACTGAATATACACCCACAAAAAAAAAAGAATGTACTCAAGGAAATTGGAGATACTACCTTGGTAATATCATCCATTTTCTCCAACAAAAACTCTGAATAAAGCTCAGTCTGGGTTAAAAGCTCATCCAGTTTACTGTATTGAGTGTCATTCAGTACAGGCACTTCTTTAGGTGTATCTTCATCGTTCTTCAACCGTTCCTCAAGAAGTTTCTGTTCCTCAACAGCCATAGATTCTGATATGAGAGATAAATCTCCATTCTTAGCATCAAGAAACACTTCTTCCTCCAACTTGACGCCATCTTTCTCCTTGCACACATCCTTTGGCCAGAGGGCAACATTAAGAAGAAAAACAAAGGAAAAATGAGCCTTCAAGTCTCCTCATAATGGAGTGCATAAGAAAAGACATCCATTTAATTACATATCACAATCAGTTCCTGAAGTAACTATTCCAACTAATTCGGATTTGAAAATGACATCATTTTTCATCTCACAAACTGAGAAATTACAAATAGGCAAAACACAAACATAACCAAAAAAATGAAGCCCATTAACTCTTTATACCTCATCTTCAAGCACAGAGGTTGGAGAATCAGCCAGCGATTCATCTTTCGCTAAATTCTGATCCACCAACGCCATCTTCGTGCACGGCCCTCCTGCCAAAAACAAAAATCACAAAATCCTCAGTCACTTAAACCCTAACCCAGCAGAAAAAAAAAATGAAAGTTCTAAGGAAAAACAAAACAAAACAAGAATGCAAGCCTAAACCCTCTAATTTAATGGCACTTTTAACGGAAAAATTTGGATTGAAAGCACCAATTCCTTATGGTAACAACCATCTCAATCCTCAATTTCCCAACAAACCCTCCAACCCCATCTGTAATTTAAAGGCTAAGAAACAATCTTTCTGCAAAATAAATCAGCAATGAGAGCAGCAATGAGAACGTCAGCGTTCTTACCGACCGGAAAATGGAAAGTTTCGGAGGAAAATGGAAGAGAGAAATTGAAAGGGTTTTCTGAATTTTTATTTTATTATTTTTCCCATTTATGTTTTTACACTCGTATTAGTAGGCGGAAGGGCGATGGGCGGGAAACTGAAGAATTGAAATTACCCTTTTTCCATCACTTAATCTCAAGAAAGCCATCCAGCTGTCGCGCATTTTGTTGGAAATATATTCTAGGTTTCATGGGACTCAAACGTCTTTTAAATCAATTTTGAAAAAATAAATAAATTTAAAACCCGTATCAAAACATAGCAACCAGACTCCGCCGCGATCAGCCGTCTCTACCACCGGAGTTAGGGCGATTCAATCGGAAGTCGATAATTGAACGGCCAGAAAAGATGGAACCACTGCCCGAGATTCTTTGGTCTTGGTAATTTCACTTGTCAAGCATTTTAATTAGCTTGATATAATAGTTTCATGATTTTTGGTTCCGTTTATGGATCATGTTCTTCACTTAATAGTTTATTTGCTTAGTTAAATTGATAATGTTCATGAATTACCCGGTTGTGGGTGCCCCAGAAATGGATCATTTTGCCGTTCTTCTTGTTTCATACATTCAACCCCTTAGAGATTAGACCCTTTGTTATTTAATGGCTGAGCATTTCTTTGCCTCATTAAACCAAGATATTTACACATAAGGGAAGAGTGGAAGATAGTGATGCTTTACCTGATCAAAAGATTTTGCTTGAAAAGAATTAATGTATTTACACATAAAAATTAGCCTAAAATCGTAACTGTGACAATGTCTTTTCTTCAACATCTGAAAGAAATTGAAAGAAATGGGAAATCAAGGAAGAGGAGGAAGACGAAGAAATATGATTAGTACTATAATGTTATCATTTCGTACAATTTAACCTCATCAGGGTAAGCTGTCAGTGCTTGATGGAACTGTCTTCCCTCTGGCCATATTGATGCTCTGATCCTGGGAGAGGCTGCATAAGACTAAATGAAAGTGAACTTTATTAGAGCACCTCAGTGGTTAAACTTCCAGAATGCGGCTGGATCAAGTCAGACGGTGGGAAGTCGAGTACACAGCACACCTGAGCTTAGATGGGTTGCTGTTCAAGAAGCCAATGATGTGGTTAATATTGGATGGAAAAATTCTGTTCATTGCATTTTAGAATCCTCTAATAAAACACCAGAATCAACAGGTCTGGATTCCTATTCCAGATCAGTCAAAGTCTGTGGTGCAACTGGCTGATCAAGATGCGATCATGTACATACATGTGGATATGCGACCAAGGACGTGTAAAATGTAAATATAAGTTCTGCTGCTGGTTGGCAAGTAGTTTCCGACTTCCTAGTCCTAGTCAGGTACTCCCTCTGTCCAATATTATCGTCCTGTTTGTTGTATTAATTTAGTGGAACAAAAGCTTGTTTCTACATTTGTCGAAGACCATTTTATCTCAGTGAAGCTGTTAGTTTCAGAATTTCCTGTTACTGTAATCATCAAAATCGTTTCTGGATAAGGATATATCTTGGATGCTTTCTGAAGGAAATTACCTTAAAAGTTAGCTAGCCTATTACATTTGGAAAATTCAAAAGCATGACATGTCATGGCTATGATTAAGACCATGAATTCTGATTTCCAACTACCGCTGCCAATGTACCCTTCTCCGTGCTTGTCGCATTCGTCGTCTTTCTTGCCGGCCGAAAACTTTTAGAACAAATCTGTCAATCTTGTAACTGTACCATTCCCTCCACTTTTTATTTAGCAAGAGTAACCAGTACATCACTAGTACGCTCACCACAAATCCTATTGCAGCACTGAGGTAAATGTCACTCTTAGAAACCGAGTCTTTCTCCCCAGGTGTATCTATTGGAGATTCTGGTTCAAAGGTAGAAGAGATGCGTGATCTGTTAACAGCAAAACCGCACAATTCACTGTTTCCTAGGAAGCTACTTTCTGAAAATATTTGCATTTGTCTTCCCCCGGGTATCAGTCCAGTGAGCAGATTGTATGACAAGTTCAGGAATAAAAGGTCTGTTAGATCTGAAATTTGTGTTGGGATTTCCCCGTTCAGATGATTAAATGAGAGGTCTAATGATTCCAGTTGATTTAGGTTTCCTATTGATGGTGGAATTGGACCAGCAAAAGCATTGTGTGACAAGTTTAGAAGGTATAGCCTTCGAAGCAGCCCAACTGTTTTGGCAAACTGCCCTGAAATTGATTTCCAGAGAAATCTATGGATGTGAAGATGGTAAGTATCTTCTGCAAATCGATAGCTACTCCTTTCAGGACAACCGAGACTGAATCTTGATAGTAGATTCCTCCAAGAAAAGTGTCATATCGCAAATGATCTAGCTGAGCATCAGAATCATCCTCTTCAACTGTCATTGCCTTCAAACTTGAGAAAACATCCCTTTGTACAGTGCCACTGAAGTTGTTCACAGCAAGATCAACAAGCTGGAGATTTTGCCTGCTGTAATTGTTTCCAGGGCAAATAATGCTTCCATGGAAGTGGTTGTTTCGCAGAACAAGCACACGCAGGTGGGACAAATTGTTTATCCAGCAGGGGAAGTTACCATCTATCTTGTTGTTACCAATGTTTAAGACCTTTAGACTAGTGCAGCTGGACAAAGATTCAGGAACGTTTCCTTCCAAGTGGTTTCGACTCAGATCAAAAGTTTCTAAGCTACAGTTGGAAAATTATATCTCAGGTATATAACCACCAAGGTTGTTGCGATCTATATTAAGCACTCCTAGAAAATTATGGTTTTTTAATATGCATGGCGGTATCATATTGCTTACTGTTGTTGGACTAGTCTAGAACTTGAAGGCTACTAGCATTACATAATGATTCAGGAATACTGCCCACAATTTCATTGTTTGCAATGGAAAAGAACAAGGCATCTGTTAACTGGTTGCCAATCTCTGCAGGGATTGAAGAAGTAAACTTGTTGCTTGAAAGATCCACAAGGGCAGCAGTGATTGGCGGGATTGGGAGTTTCTAGGTAAGGAAATTTGAGTGCAGATCAAGATACTGTAGATTGCCAAACTGATAAGGTTCTTGTAAATGAGTCAACTGATTATGAGAAAGTTTCAAATAGCGAAGACATCCATCTCCGACATCCCATAGCCAGCTAGGTATTTTGCCGGCTATTTGGTTATTTGAAAGATCTAACATCATAATCCCTGACTGGTTCCGTAAGAAGGGAAATTTTTTTATACCTCATGAAGCTAACATCAAGGTTCGAAACTGGGAAGCAAAGAAGGCTGAGAGTAAGTGCTGTTTGTGTCGATAACCAACTGGTTGTGTGAAAGCTCAAGATATTCAAGTTGTGGTAACTTTTCAAAACTGATCAACTCTAGAGTTCCATTAAATTGGTTCCAAGAAAGACCGAGACTGACCAAATCATGTATATCAAACAAAAACTCAGGTATGGGCCCTTCTAAGTTATTATCTTGCAAATCAATTTCTTCCAATTTGGAGGACTAGTTGCTTCTCCTAACGGGATCGCTAATTTGACCCGAAAAATCATTGTAGGAAAGCGTCAGGGTCTCAAGCGATGGCATAATGAACAGATTTCCAGGGATCTGGCCATCCAAGGAATTATTGTTTAAGTCAAGAAGTAATAGGTTATCAAATGTTACACCTTGGAGGAAAGAAATGTGACCTGAAAAGTTGTTCCTTTGAAGGTTAACGAAAGTTAGATCCTTGGACCGATTGAGAGATGGAACTGACCCATTGAAGTGATTCCTAGACAAGTCAACATAGACAAGGTGTTCGAGTGTTTCCACTGAACTGGGGATAGGTCCTATGAAATTGCAAGCTCCCAGATCTAATTGGGACAACATTCTAAGATTACCAATGGATGTCGGTAAGCTTCCTGACAACTGTGTGTAGCTAAGAACTAGATTCTGAAGTGATAAATTTTTAGGAAAGTCAGGCAAAAAACCCCCTAAATTTTCATTGTTGGACAAGTCAACTGTTTGAAGAGTTGGTACCTGGAATATTTTGTCTGCAACTCCAGAAAATCCGCACGAGCTCAAACTCAGGACATGCAGATTGGGAAAATCCCCAAAGAACTCTGGAATTTCTCCATAAAAGTTGTTCTCATCAAGCCGTATGACAGAAAGAGACTTGAGATTTGTCAGAGAATAATCAACCGACCCAGAAAGGTAACAATTCGACAAGCTCAAAACTTGCAAATCAGGCACTGAAGATGACAGAACCTGGCACCAGTTATTTCCCTGTGCTGAAAGATTCATCCCATCAAGATACAGTTCTCGAAGCCCCGTGAGATTCTGAAGTAAAAATTCAAGATTCGGATTCTGAAGCTGGAGCGCGTTCATGACCTGAGGGCGACTGGACAGATCAAGAACATCCAATCTCGTCAACTTGGAAAGACCGCTTGGGATTTGGCCGGAAAATCCAGAATCAGAGAAATTCAGGTATTTTAATGAAGTGAGTTTCTCAAAGTTAGATGGTAACTGAAGTGATGCAATGGAGATTTTAGCTAAACTTAACCTCTGCAGAAACCGAAGACTAAACAGACTACTGGTCTCATTGATACCTCCAGGGATGAATTCATTCATTCTTGAGATGGAGCCCGACAACATGACCAAATGAATCACAGCTGACACCAGCCGAGAAACAGCAATCAGGGCACTTTGATTCCATCATTCCAATTCACAAGCTTGGTGGAATCCGCGGGTTCATACGTTAGATTGTCTCTAAGTTGGAATAACAACATCTTCTGATCTTCAAGACATTTTATGGAGACCGCAAATGCATCCGGACAGTAAAAATGTATCAAAAACACCATCAAGGAAGGAAAGTAGACAATCAGGAGTCCTCATTTTAACTTGATGATCTTTTTTGGCAGCTTCCAAATTAGTTTTGAAGACGGATTTATGGAACTGGGCTGCTGCATTATTGTATTGTACGGTTTACTTTCCTATAAAATTAAACAAAAGTTTGATTCTTTAAAGTTGTGCTTGTAATTTGACAAGAAGACGGTTATGTTTTGAAAGTCTAAGCCAATGCATGAAAATTTCAGCATTTTTTTCTTAGTAGTTCCAAGATTACGGCTACTTATAATTATAGAGGAGTGAATTCTCTTCTTATGACTAAATCGTTATAAACTTGCAAATCGTTGCCTGAAATGTTCGGGCTTCTCTCACTTCAATAGGGGTATCACAAAGCCCCTTGTGATGAATTTTTCTTTTAATTTCCTTTTTAGTATGTTAGGCACCCGATATCCGAAATCATTATTCCAATCAATAGAAGAAAGTAACAAACCAAGCAAGCTATTTTTTGATATATTAGGCCTCTAATATCTGAAATCATTGTTCCAGCCAGTAAAAGAAAGTGATCAACCAAGCAAGCTATACGGGATGCGGGTGCCTAAAAACAAATAAATGATGAGTACTATTAAATCGAACCAACCGGTAGCTTTGAATAGATTTTTTTTGTTTTTTTTTTTGTTTTGTTCTTTTATGCAAAGTCAAGGAAATTTTAGCAGAAAATTTTACAAATAAAAAAACCTTATATAAAATGTCAGACCTGGTTTAGACTTTAGACAAAGACCAAGGTACAGTGACTCTGGAAGAAATGAGAAAGGTGAGACAAAAACTAATCCATTGGCAGTGAGTGGAGCTGAGCTAAGAAACTTATATATACGTCTCGTATCCTTTAGAGGGGCAATGTTGGATTCAGGTTCTCCTTTATATTTTTAATCCGTACAACCTTCCATAAAAATCCAACTTACAAGAGGTTTCTAATGAATTTATTTATGACATCACAAGACATTGATGATGTACAAGAATGTTAAATTTAAAGTATTCACGGATTAATGAACCACCCTCAATCATCAAAATCGTAGGCTTTCTATTCCTTTGAGTGCAGAATCAAAGTTCTTCCCACTAGATCTTCTTAGGAAGTTAGTGCTTGATAACATAACATCTTTGCTTGATGAATTTAAAACCTGACCCGATGATCTCCTCCGTGAAGGATCTTCTGCTGATGATGACGACGAAAACCCGGCTGGCCTTCTTCCATCTTCTCCTGAGCTCATTGTCCAATCAAAGACATAATCAAGCTGGAACCCTTGGCGAACGAAAAGATCGCGAAACATTCGCCTCAGGTAGGCATAATCAGGCTGATCCTGAAACCGAAGTGATCGACAGAAATAGAAATACGACGCGAATTCGGGCGGATATCCCCTGCATAAGGACTCAATAGAAGTTGCAACCTTCTTCTGACTGATGCTTTCATACTTCTGCTTCTTTGTACCACCAGGTAGCCTCTGCCATGGAAGGCTTCCTCTCAGGAAATACATCAAAACATATCCAATTGATTCCAAATCATCCCTCCGACTCTGTTCAATCCCAAGATGGGTATTAATGCTTGCATATCTAGCACTTCCAGTCAATTCCTTGTTTTCCCTGTAAGGAATATGCTGATGGGTTGAGGAATCTCTGTATTTCTTAGCCAGGCCGAAATCGATGATAAAAACCTGGTTTGCTCGACTTCCTGAGCCCATCAGGAAATTGTCGGGCTTGATATCACGGTGGAGGAATGATTTCGAATGAACGAATTCGACCCGGTTGATCATCTGATCTGCAAGCATCAGGACGGTCTTCAGGGAGAATTTGCGGTCGCAGAGATCGAACAAATCTTCAAGGCTCTGCCCCAACAAATCCATCACCAAGGCATCGTAGTTTCCTCCAGACCCGTCAGGCCCGGCCCATCTCACGTTCGGGATTCCCGGTCCTCCCTGGAGGACTCTGTATACCTTTGATTCGTAAAGTAGCTGAGGATGATGATTGGTTTTCACGTTTTCTAGCTTGATTGCCACTTCTTCGTTGGTATGGATATTTGTCCCCACGTAGATCACCCCGAACGATCCGCTGCCGATTTTCCGGCCGAGCCGGTACTTGTCACCGACGAGAAGAGGCTCCATGAAAGCAAAGTAAAGTCGCCCGAGATATAGGAGATTTCAATTCACCGGCCCGAGTAATCGGTTAAAGTTTTATTTTCTTACAAAGTAAAATATAAATATTCTAATAATTTGCTAAACACTTCAATTATACTAGGGTTTTTTCAAGAACACGACTAAATTAGTTTTCATAGTGAATGACCTAAAAGGCAAAAGAGGACATAACGCATTATGTAAAGGTTATGTGTGTATGGAGATTCTGTAAAATATACCGGTGCAACCAACTCTTTATATAGTAGTGATAAGTGGTTCCTACTTCCTAGTTGGAGGAGATTTTGTTAGTGTTTTAGTACTGGATTAAGAGAGCAAATTATTAGGAGACCAATATTTAAGAGATCATATATGATTCTAAGTTATTCTACTGGATTGTCAAACCAAAATTAGCTCGGAAAAGAATCTCTTATATGTGAATCCAAATCCAGTTAACACTTTGGTTAATTACTACTATATAAGAGGAACAATTCAGAAAGAGATACACATGAATTAAATCTCCTTAACCACCGTTTAAACAATGGATTCCAAGAATAACCAACCCTTCACAGACCTTTCCCTTTCCGCTGCTGCCTCCTCCGGCGTATTGAAGAAGGATGGACCAAAGGATTCAATCCTTACCGTTCACCGACAAACTTTGACCGCTACATTGCTAGGTGGTAATCATCTGTAACCTATGACCGCGAGGATCATCCCCCTACTAATAAGTATCAAAAGGGAACCACAGCAATGGGTTGTGTTTTCAACAACGAATGGGTAACTCAACTCGCACCCGCTTGTTACTGTTTCTGGCGGGAGAAAAACCCTGCGCAACATAAAGAGGGGAGGGAAGCTCTTGCTGCGGAAGCATCAAAGTGGCTGGCTGACTTTGTGTCCCTTTGTCCTTGCGACAGTTGGTCACTTGGAACACTGATCGCTGGGTGGGACAACAAATCGGGACCTGCCCTGTATAAAGTGAACGGGTAAGGGCCAACTGCTGAAAAGAGAATTCGTTGGTACTGGATCTGGTTCGGCTTCCCACATTGTATTCGATGTCAAGCCCCGTGACAATGTATCTATGGCTGAAGCCGCGGAGACTGCCAAACTTGCAGTTTGTTGTGGTGTGTATAATGCCCTGGAGAGCTGTAAACTCGCCCGTGTTTTCCATGTTGGAGAAGCCGGGGTTACTCGGGTAGTCTCGACTTTTGATGTGGAAGAATGGCTAAAGGGGTTCCACTCCAAATTCGGGCACGAGTGGAAGTTGGAAGACCATGGGCTCCTCAACGTAAAATTGGAGAAGGATCACCAGCGCCTGATTGAGCCCTTATCTACTTAGTGATATGCAGTGTTCTTCTTATGCCTCCTTTTTTTGGACCAAAGGGATTTTCTAGATTGTCTGCTTTGGGTCTCCCTTTTATTAGTTTTGGTTGTTGTATCTATCAATAGACAATCTGTCAAAGGGTTTAGGGTTTAGGGTGTTTTTTTTTTTTTTTCTATGTATGTTTTGGTTTAAGTATGAAGTAGTATCATCAATGCAGTAAACTCCTAAAAAAAAAAAATCGTCAAACACATTAATTTCAAAATCGCAAAATTTTACCATGAATCCAATTATGTCAACTTGTGTATGTATATATATATATAAATATATATATATATATATATATATATATATTATACTACCATTAATTAAGTATGGATTTTTTTATTTATTTATTTTTTATGAGAATTGAATTCCAGCGAGATCGTTGACCACCGTTTGTATGTCTTTTCTTTTCCTGATACTTCCAAATAGATAGATGAAGAATTAGAGAGATCTTGGAGTTTATTCCTGGCTGGGATTTATTTTTTTCTTTTTTCTTACATTCATATCTTTTCACTTTGGAAACTTTAATGCTTGCCTTATTTTTATTTTGCAAAAGAAGGGTGGGTGGATTTTAGTTTTTGTTTTTTTTTTTCGTTTTTTTTTTTTTTGTTTGAATTCCAATTTTTAGATCACTCATCCCGGGAATGTGTAATCAAATATGTGTTTATCCCAAAAATCACTTTGACTGGTGTGATGCTTGTATTTTACTCCATTTTCTCAAATATAATTGTCGTATTTATTCTATTATATAGAAGAATATATTTTCCTTTTTTGTGGTAGTATTGACATGTTGTTGGCTAAGCAGATTAGCCAGACATGAATGACCCGCTTTTAAACCCTTGGCTTTGATCAAATGTTGTTCTAAATTAAACTGTGCTGAACTTTTAATCTTTTTTGAAGTTGTGGATCTAGGGTGAAGGCGGGCCTTTATATATATGTGCTGAAAACTACTTGCTGAAGGAATGCATAGTCCTTTGTAGGCGTTTAAATAATGTACAAAACCTTTATAGTTGACGTATTCCTTCAGTTGTGCTCTTTTTTGTCCTGGAAAAATTGTCAACTTTGAATACTAGTCTTGACAGGGAAAAGCAAGCCTTAATTGATTTACAAGTGGAAGATTCAAAAAGCATGAAGTTCATGATGAGCTTCAACTCTGATTCCAACAAACCATTGGCAAATGTCAATCTACTCATCTACGACCTCGTCGAGATCGCCTTCTGTCTTGCTGATCAAAAACTTTTAGAACAAATCTGTGAAGATGGTAACCATACCATTCTCTCCACTTTCTATTCAGCAGAAGTGACCAGTACATCACAAGTAGGCTCACAACAAATCCTATTGCAGCACTGATGTAAATGTCACTCTTAGAAACCCATTCTTTTTCCTCAGGCGTCACAACTAGAGAATCAGGTGGGGAGGAAGCAGAAGAACTGCATAATCTGTTGACAGCAGAACCGCATAAACCAATGTTTCCAAGGAAGCTGCTTTCTGTAAATGTATGCATTTGTCCTCCATTAGGGATCATTCCAACCAGCTGATTGTAAGACAAGTTCAACTTTGAGAGGTATGTAAGACCTGCAATTTCCATTGGGATTTGGCCATTCAGACGATTGAATGACAGGTCTAATGACTCCAGGTTCTTCAGGTTTCCAATTGACGATGGAATTGAACCCGTGAAAGCATTCCGCGAGAAGTTTAGATGGTGTAACCTTTTAAGGGCCCCAATTGTTTCAGGCACATTGCTTCAAATTGATTGACGGAGAAATCAATGCACATGAAGCTGGTAAGGATCTTCTGCATCTTAATATCTACTCCCTTCAGGACCAATAAGACAGAATAATTATAGTAAACCCGAGTTTCACTTTCACTACATCGAATCGAAGTATAATATCGCAAATGATCATCAAGCTGAGGATTGGTATTGTTATCCTCTTCAACCGTCATTGCCTTCAAACCTGAGAAAATTTCCTTTGGGACAGCGCCACTGAAGTTATTTACAGAAAGACCAACAACCCGAAGATTTTGCCAGCTGTAATTGTTTCCAGGGCAAGTAATGTTTCCATAGAAGTGGTTGATACGCAATAAAAGCACACGCAGGCTGACCAACTCGTTTATCCAGCAGGGGAAGTTGTCCTTTATCCTGTTCCTACCAACATTTAAGACCTTTAGACTACTGCATTTGGACAAAGATGCAGGAATCTTTCCTTCCAACTGATTCCAACTCAGGTCAAAAGTTACTAATGCACATGCGGAAGAAGATATTTCAGGTATAAGCCACTGAGATTGTTTTGTCTTAGATTAAACACTCCAAGACCATTGCTGTTTTCCAATATGCATGGCGGTATCATTCCGCTTAAGGCGTTGTTAGATAAGTCAAGTACTTGAAGCCTACTTGCATTGCACAGCGATTCAGGTATACCACCCGCAACCTTATTGTTTGCAATGGAGAAGAACATGGCACTTGGTAGATGATTGCCAATGTCTGCAGGGATTGAAGAAGTAAACTTGTTGCTTGAAAGATCCACAAGGGCAGCAGTGATTGGCGGGATTGGGAGTTTCCCGGTAAGGAAATTTGAGTGCAGATCAAGATACTGTACATTGCCAAACTGATAAGGTTCTTGTAAATGAGTCAACTGATTATGAGCAAGATTCAAATAGCGAAGATATCCATCTCCAACATCCCATAGCCAGCTTGGTATTTCGCCGGCTATTTGGTTATTTGAAAGATCTAACATCATAATCCTTGACTGGTTCTGTAAGAAGGGGAATTTTTTTATACCGCATGAAGCAAACATCAAGGTTCGAAAACTGGGAAGCAAAGAAGGGTGAGAGTAAGTGCTGTTTGTGTCATTGACCAACTTGTTATTTGAAAGCTCAAGAGTAACAAGTTGTGGTAACTTTCCAAAACTGATCAACTCTAGAGTTCCACTAAATTGGTTCCAAGAAAGTCTGAGCCTGACTAGATCATGTATATCAAACAGAAACTCGGGTATCGGCCCTTCTAAATTATTATGTCGCAAATCGATGACTTTCAATTTGGAGGGCTGGTTGCTAATGTTAACTGGTTCACTAATTTTACCAGAAAATTTATTGTGGGAAAGTTTCAAGGTGCTAAGTGATGGCATAAAAAACAGATTTCCAGGGATTTGCCCCTCCAGTGAGTTGTTACCAAAGTCAAGAAGCTCAAGCATATGAAATGACAACTCTTGGATGAAAGAAATATTACCTGAAAATCTGTTACCATAAAGCATGATGATAGTCAGATTTCTGGATCGATTGAAAGATGGAATTGAGCCATTGAAGTAATTGCCAGACAAGTCTACATAGACAAGATGTTCGAGCTTTTCCACTGAACTAGGGATGGGTCCTATGAACTTGCAACTTCCTAGATCTAATTGGGACAACATTCTAAGATTACCAATGGAGTTTGGCAAGCTTCCTGAGAATTCTGTGTTGTGAAGAATTAGACTTTGAAGGGATAAATTTTCAGGAAATTCAGGCAGGGAACTCCCAAGATATTCATTGTAGGACAAGTCAATAGTTTGAAGAGTTGGTACCTGGAATATGTTATCAGGAACTCCAGAAAACTCACAAGAGCTTAAATTCAGGTGAGTAAGACTGCAAAAATCCCCAAAGAACTCTGGAATTTGACCGGTAAGGCGGTTACCATCAAGACGGACAACAGAAAGAGATTTGAGTTTGGACAAAGAAGGATCAATCGCCCCAGAAAGACAACAATTTGACAAGCTCAAAACTTGCAAATCAGGCACCGAAGATGATAGAACCTGGCACCAGTTATTCCCCTGTGATGAAAGATTCATTCCATCTAGATATAATTCTCGAAGACCCGTGAGATTCTGTAGCATGAATTCAAGATTCGGTTTTTCAAGCTGGAGCAAATTCGTGAACAGGCTGGGACTGGACAGATCAAGAACAACCAAGCTTGTCAATTTGGAAAAACCAATTGGTATTTGGCCAGAAAATCCAGAATCAGACAAATTTAGATACTTCAATGAAGTGAGCTTCTCAAAGTTTGTAGGTAACTGAAGTGAATCAACTCCGTTTTGAGCTAAATCTAACCTCTGAAGAAATCTAAGACTAAACAGACTACTGCTTTCATTGATACCTCCAGAGATGGATTCCTGGCTGAGATCAAGCCCGACAACATGACCGGAAGGATCACAGCTGACACCAGCCCAAAAACAGCAATCATCAGTGCTTCGATTCCAGTTCACAAGCGCTTTGGAATACGTGGGATCATACGTTACAGTATCTCTGAGCCGCAGCAACAACATTTTCTGATCTTCAAGACACTGTCCAGAGACTAAGAAAACATCCTTGCAGCAGAAACATACCAAAAACAATAAAACCAGGGAAGGAAAGAAGGCAAACAGTTGTATTTCCATATTCTTTGATTGATTAGCAGTGTTCAGATTAAGTTTTGTTGACCATAATAAAGCTGGGGGCTTCAATAATTGCATTACACTTTACATTGGAAATTTGACCGATGAAATAGTAAAGCATCTTTTTCAGCAACAAATTCAGGAATCAAAATTTGATCTTGTCGGCCTTTTTTTCGTCACATATATACACTAGGAATCAAGTCGTTATCAAGTGAAAAAATGTGGAATCAAGTCGTTATCAAGTGAAAAGAAGTTAAGTCCCAATTCGATATAATTTCATACACACCCAACCCACAATCATACCGTTTTTGACAAATTTTGACACCAAGCGAGTGCAAGTCACATTCACGAGCCAAACAACAAAATTCCTATAGCAAAAATCCCTGCCGTCACTACTGAAGCTGAGATCGTAGGAACTTTTTGTTTCGAGCTTTCTTGTTTTATTACAGCACAAATTCTATGATACAATAAGCATAACATCCACATTCAGATGAGTATCAAATTGTTACATGTATTCGTCCATACAGCTGAATGTGTTAAATTCTAAGTTCACCTGGGAAAACGATAAACTACAGGAAATAGGGACACCGACCAGGAAACAATATCTTCGTAATAATTTGTGAACTAAATGTTGTCTCAAGACTCAGAGTTAGAGGCTTTCTCCTCTTTAGGAGAAGCATATTGTCTGCTGAGGCGTGACTTGGTCCAAGGATCCAATGGTTGTCTTTGTGGTGGCTGCGGCGCTGGGGGTTTAGCTTGCCGTAGTTCGTTTTCTCTATCTACGAACCTGTAAACAAGAACAGCACTCCACTTGTCAATCTAAGTTTTTACTTGAGAATTTGTTTGCTTTCAATTGGAAAAAATGCGGGAAGAGGAAAAAAAGCACCTAGAAATTGATGTCTTCAGTGCAGCTAAATTATTTCTTATGATCACGGAAAAGTGAGTAAAATTAGGTTCGGGATGAAATGAGATCACGTCGAGGCAGCAGAGATCTTTGAAAAGGTTAATCGCACATGACTACATGCTTGTGTGGCTTCACAATATCAAAAATACTCCCTCCAACAACCCCCAAACAAATGGTTTATATGCAAATATAGTAGTCCTTGCATGATGAACACCTTCACTTCCTCCAGAAAAAAGATAGTTTTACGCATAATCTGTGGGTGGGCAATAAGTGAAAGCAATTGCAGCTAGAAATAGAAGGCATGAACTTACTCAATATAGGCCATTGGTGCTGCATCACCAACACGTATTCTTGATCGAAGCATTCTTGTGTACCCACCATTTCTGTCTCTGTAATGGGAGAATTTGATCTAATCATTACAGCCAGCATTTTTTAAAAACTGAAACCAACAGGTGAGAGACTTACTTGTATCGGTAAGCCAATTCTGTGAAAAGTTTGTGAATGACATCATCACCACGCACAAAGGCAGCAGCGCGTCTCGCAGCACAAAGAGTTCCCTGGCACAGATTGGGAAAAGAGTAAGGTAAGTAACAAAGAATTTTACACAGCTCCAGTACCAACAGTTCCATGGAACACGAAACCACACTCCTTAGTTTTAACATAAAGAATCCGTTTCTAAACAACAGCAACAATCAATACATAGATGTTTATTTCCTTCCAAGCAGTTAATACACAGGCCATCAACTGAGCAAAAGAGTTTTCAACCATCCAAATTTTAAATCAATAGTTTGAATTAAACCAACCAGAGAAAGCCATAGGATTTTGGTGCCAAAAATAGTTTCACAAAGCAAAGCTTAAATCAAGCCAGCATCTTCAGATCAGTAAAATCTAAGCATAGAGCAGTTTGTGATTATTTAGAAAAAAGGAGTAAAACGATGCCACTGAACTTCCCTAAGGACATCAAGCTAGGACAAGAATAAGAGGGGAAGAAGAAAACAAAGCCACTGGAATTTATTCCCAATTGTCTAACATCAATCCATAAATTCTCTTCCAACTCTCCCAAGAGAGGTTATTTCGTAAAAGGAGGGGGAGGTTCAAGGCAAGGGCACTGGACTTCCCCAAGGACAAGATTTGTTTCAACCTGAACATGTTCAGTAATCTTTGTTGAGAGACTTTGGTATAGACTGTAAGAATTCATATTAACCATATTAAAATTAACCGAAACAGTGGCCTAAGCATTTAGCAGTATTGCTCTTTAAACACGTCTTAAAGCTATAAAAAGAAAAACATTGGACAAAAACTTGTCAGATAGATTCTAATCCAATCTACAGAAAGAAATGAATTTTCATCTTATTGAAAGCAAGAAATGCTACTTGCTGGTCATTTTTTCAATTAATTTCATATTTCTCTTCAATTTTTCATGTATGTATACCAGTACCTCGCTCTTCCATAATAAATAATCACCTTAGGTGCATCTAATTACTACATTAGGAGTACCAAATGCATCCAGAACAGATTAAAGTTCCGAAATTTGTGTGTAGGTGAATCAACACCACGCGTTCCAAATGCAGATTTACTAACTTGTCAAAAGGGACAGGGAAGAGTTAAAGCAATTTGGGATGAAACTATGATATAAACATCAGATGTTTAAACTTGAAGAGGAACAAGCATTTAAAATACATTGAGGATCCATTCAACCAGTCCTAAATCGAGGGGCTTAATTGTTCTCATTGTCATCTTCTTTGAGAACTCTCAAATTCAAAAAACGCTTTATTGTTTTTGGGGAAGAACTATACGGCTGAAGACAATTTTTTCCCATTCTCCAGCAAGGAAACTGAGCAAAAATAGAACTCATACAAATTTAAATGATAGTTGAAGAGAAGTAACAGAAAACCCCAATAAATTCTTTAACACACTACAGTGTGATATTTATAGCAAACAAGCATGTTGAGATTGGTAACCACCACAATACACATAAAACTCTAATACGTACCTGGGCAAACAAAATTTTACCAAAAAAATTAATCAAATCAATTATGCAGTTCTATCAAAACCATGCTTTCCTTAACTAAATGTAATGAAAGTTGTTAACAGGCTCCCGAGTCCTATCAATTAGTTTCTTTCAGTTAACAGTTAACTACATGGGAGAGAGATGAAAACGCTGCACAAAAAGCTCAAAGTTTGGAAATCTATCATCACTTGAACTAAGCAAGACCATGTTATTGTCTTGCATAAAACAAAAACTCAGTTTCTCCAGTGGTTAGTGGGAAAAGGGGTCAGCAGTAAAAGCTTCAGGGATTAAGACTACAATGTGCCCAGCAGACGTAGGACTCTTTTGTTATATGTTCTAAAATATTGTTTTAACTTTGAAGCAACTTACAGAAAGAGGACAAGGAGCTCAGCTTCCAGAACTTTATCTTGACAGAGAGATGACTTACTCATTTAAAGATCATTCCACCTTGATAACAACAACTGCACAGAGTCAGGAAGTTTTGTTTTCCATATTTTCTTCAGAACTCAAACCGAGGGTTTTCAGACACGGAAGAAGGATGCACAACAAATGGAAAAGATCAAACACATAAACTTTGATGAAAATTTTGATAAACAGGGAATTGAATTCTGCGCAAGACCACATAATCTAAGATCAAGACACACTCTGTCCTCTTTAAGAAGAAAATACAAGAGCAAGTATACGAATCTCCACACCTCTTTTCCAAGCTGTACCATGTTGTCAGCCATCCTTCGAACTTCTTTGGCCTAACATTAAACATGAAAAATTGATCTTATAACACGATCGAGACTTCATACAAATCACAAGGAGAAGAAACCATAGATGAAAGCAACTTTGATGCCGATTACAATTCCTGTTCTAGCCCAAAGAAGCAAATCGCCTTTTGGCAGGAAAATAAGAAAAGAATAAGCATATCTTTGAAATTCTATAAGCTTCCAACAAAATTCATGCTCAAAGACTATAGTTTCCATCATATTGACCCAAAAATTCCAGTGAATAGTAGCATCACTGAACCTTTAGAATTTAACACAACCAATAAAAACGGAGTTCAATTAGCTCACTGACTGAAAAATTACTTAAACCCTATCCCTCAAGAAAATCCCATTTCAGCTAGTCCGAAAAAAAGCACAAAAAAAAGGGTTAAAGAAACAAAAACATCAAGCTAAATTCCGATATAAAGCAGAGGAATAAAAAAAGCTACCTTCGTAATGGTGGTTTCGATTCGTTCGTGCTTCACCAATTGCGAAACCATTGTTCTGACCACAGTGGAAATAAAAATCGTTTCAGAATCAATCATGAATTCTTTGCCGCACCAGATTTACTGAATCACGAATCTACCCAATACAACTGTATAATCAAATTTATCAAATATCAAACCTGAACATGGACATTCGATGAGCAGTCGGGCGATTAAGCTTCCTAAATTTAGTCATTTTCGCGAAGATTTGCCGTAATGGAGAACACCGATACGAAAACCACAAGCAGGATTGTGAAAACTCGGAGGAAGAGTGGGGACTGCTAAAACCCTGGGAAGGAAAATGGAGGTTTTTACAGAAGAAGGGAAAAGAAAAAGGAAGAAATGACCTGGGAAAACTTTTTTATTTTCCTTTTTGGCCCCATTATTTTAAGGTAATGGTAAAACTAGTCATCAATCTTTTTTTTAACCCGACATATTGAGACTTTACTTTTTGTAAACAAAAATATTTTGTTGTTGAAAACGTCAAAGATTAACCATTGGAGTATTCTTTTACTTACTCGTTAGGCGGATCTTTTGTAATTTCCTTTTCTTTTCATCCTTACAACACATATTTTGAAGAAACTAGAAAGAAATACAAGTTACACTTGTGATAGGGTGACAATGAGGTCGTATTTTGTGTTTACGAGTTGAACAATAAAATAATCAATAACAATCACTATGTAAATACTATTAGGATCTAACAACTAAGTTCAGGCCTGTTTGAATTTCATTATTCGAAGGTAGTGCTAAAATTAGTCATCAAAATTTTTTTAACCCAATTTTTGAGACTTTACTTTTTCTAAACAATTTTTTTTTTTTTGGTTGAAAACGTCATAGATTAACCATGGGTATTTATACTTACTTGCGGATCTTTTGTTTTCACATTTTTCCCCCTCCTTACAATACATATTTAAAAAAAAAAACTAGAAAGAAATATTTATCACACTTGTAAAGTGACAATCGAGTCGTGTTTTGTGTTTACGAGTTAAACCATTTAAAAATAAATCAATATCGATCAATATGCAAATACTGTTTCGATCAAACAAGTTCAATTATCCGGTTTGAATTCATTCTTGTTTGAATTGTCTGATATGGGAATAATAAGCCATATATATTATATATCGGTAGCTAGAAAAGGTTCCGACTTAAAAGATTTAACAAGACCGAAGACATGCCGATGAAACATTAAAAGAAAACATTGCATCTATAATTATCTCAATAATGTTGATTTCCGGATCTTGCTTTTAACTTGAACACTGGCATTGATGTTTCTGTGAATAACCAGATCATGGTTCATCAGAAAATGCTAGTTTTCGTTTGAACCCTTGTTAAGTTTTCGATTAAAAAAAAAAAGAATTTGTGGATTGTCAAATACTAGAAGAGTTAAGTTGTTAGATTAAGAAAACTGATGGAGTTGGTTTTCTACCTGGGGTTTCCCGCCAATTCGCCCTGATGCAAGTTCTCCTCCCTTTCATAACGAAGAAAATAAAAGTGAGAAAATCTTCAAAATTTGGGCTTGGCTGGGCGTCTATTTTTCAATCCCACCATCAATTTGAAATAGTCCACTTTATTACAAAATTGTGACATGAAATGAGTTATTTTTTCTGAGATAGTGAGAATATATATGTTAATTACTTACCCGATAGTAAGATTAACTGATTATTTTACTTGTTTGTTGTTTATTACTCCCTCCATCCCAAAAAAATAGTCTAGTTTGAAAATATACAACTTTTTCCATTTGGTCAACACACCAAATGTACAACTCATTTTATGCCCCTAACTTTCACTAATACCCCTTTGTAGTTATTTTTATAAAAATTAACTACAATGCATTTATTTTACAACTTAAATTTGATCAAAATTTTTATCTTAAAAAATATTGACCAGATCTTGATGGAAAGATCTCGTTACGTAGATTAATTTGTTATATAACAGATTTTTTAACTATTCATGTATTAAAGGATATAATCATTTGAAAAAATGATGGAAAACTAAAAAAAATAAAAATAAAAGGAAGTGGACCTTGTTTTCCTTACCATTGTATATTTAAGTCATTTCAATTCAATTAATTTTGACTTTTGTGAAACTGGACTATTTTTTTTGGACAAACTTTTTTATTAAACTGGACTATTTTTGTGGGACAGGGGAGTATTATTTATCATTATAAAAAGGCAAAAGGAATCAGTTTATATGTGTAGTTGTTAGAAGTTGCAATCATCACTTTTGTAATTTTCTCTATAGTTTACAAATTGTGCAGTGTCTGTGACAGCTGCCCAAATAATGTTTGTAAAGTTTTTGGACATTTCTCGTCCGCAATGATATAATATATATAATCACAGAAATCCTAATAGTTGGCTAGAGTTGTAATGTTAATGTACTATAAATACCATGTTGTATAACGTGAATCATATACACAATCTTGTTGGTCAGCATATGCATGATCCTCGCGAGCAGCATTTTCAGGCCGTCAAACATATTCTCCGCTACATTAAGGGCACACTTCACTATGGCATTCATCTCTGTACTGGCCCTCTTGATCGCCTTGTCACGCACTCTGATGCTGATTGGGCTGGATGTCCTACCACTCGCTGCTCTACAACTGGTTTTTGTGTCTTTCTGGGTTCATCTCTGATTTCCTGGTCCTCCAAAAAACAATCTACCGTCTCTCGATCTTCTGCTGAGTCTGAGTATCGTGCGGTTGCTTCTGCATTGGCTGAAACCATTTAGTTGGAAAATCTCTTATCTGAACTTCATATCAAGTTCCCGCAGTGCCTGGTCATCTTGTGTGATAATGTCTCTGCCACCTATTTAGCTGCCAATCCGGTTAATCATGCCCGCACCAAACATATTGGTCTAGACATTCATTTGTTCGAGAACGTATTGCTGCTAGTCTTCTTCGTGTTTTTCATATCTCCACACAGTCCCAACTTGCAGATGTCTTTACAAAATCGTTAATTAAGGATAAATTTTATTCGTTTAAATCAATCTATGCATGATTACTTCTCCTACTACGATTGCAGGGGAGGATAGAATATATATTATCACGGAAACCCTAATTAGGGTTTCCCATATAGTCGGTCAGGGTTGTAACGTTAATGTACTATAAATATCATGTTGTATAACGTGAATCATATACACAATATTTCTTTTATGCAACAAATAATTTTTTGTTTCTTTTTTGGGTAATAAATTAAGGCTTTGTTGGTTAGGTTTTTTGATGATATTTTTAAAATATTTAAATAATACTTGTTCCATCCCAACATATTTTTTTACATTTTCAATACATATTTTTACAATCTCAATATAAAAAAAACCAAAAAAACACTAAAAAACGAAACAAACATAAAGCTTTCTTCAAGACTAATTTTTGACTTCTTTCCTAATTATTTTCTTTTCACGGAGAGAGAGGAAAGAACAGATTGAAAAAATGGCTCATGCTTGGAGTACTACAGTTGATTCTGCTGTTGAAGAGCTAGGTTGGCTGAAGCAGATCAATCAATCAGGCAGTCCTGAGCTTGTTCTTAGGCAGGAGTTCAAATTCCTTATGAGGTTCACCATCTGGCTGTTCACATGTAAGGAAGTTGATCTTGCAGATTCTAATTTAAGTTTTGCATATTATAGTCTTGAAGATATGCTGAAAAGTGCTTGTGTTATTAGATCTGTTCTTGGGGAGGTTCAAGCTTTGAGTGATTTGAATTTTTTGGTAACTAAATTGCTAATTGTATATGACAAATTTGAGTCAGAGGTCAGAAATGTTTGTTCTGCTTTCTTGGGTTCTTTAAAATCCATGTCTTGCTCCCCTCTTGAGATCATGACATTCATTGATGTTCTTGTTGAGAATTTGCGGGTTCTAGCCAATTTGAAAACCGGCATTAATGCTTCTGTGAAGAACCAGATGATGGTTCATCAGAAAAAGCTAATCTTTTTTAGAACCCTTGTTAAGTTTTCGAGAAAAAGATGTGTGGATTGTCAGATATTGGAAGACTTGTTGGATTATGTGAAGAATGAGTGGATTCACAGGGCAGCGTGTTTGTCCCTTTTGTGTTTGTGGAAAGGGAAGGATGCATCTATGTTTACTGACTTATTATTCCATCAAGAGAAGTTTACTCCTTGCACTCTTGAGATTGCGAGAATGTTGTTTGACCTCTTGAAAGCTTTAAAGCCATCGAGGTCTGATACCATTCAAGTTAGCGAAGCTGTTGTCGGGGTTGTTGATTTTGTATTAAATGGTTTCCCTGCAGATCCTTCAAAGGATTTTGTTGAAATCCTCAAAGACAATTTGATATTCATGACATCCTTCATCATGGATCTTACGCCTAAGGAAGAAACTGTAACAAGTGCTGCCGGAGTTGAAGTACTTCTCCGGTTGCGAGCAAAAGTTGTTGTTGATGAGCTACTATCTCTCATTTTCTCACTACAAAAGGACAGATCAACAGTAGAGGATATTTCTAGTCTTCAACTGAAGATTGACAAAGTGAAAGCCAAGATTAGAGAGCTCTTTTATGTCCCATTTTTGAATCCTCTGGACTTTACTTTTCCAATGACAAATGTTTTGGGATCAGTCAATTTCTTCCTAGAGAATCTGAAAGCAATGGTGAGTAGAATGGCTTTTGGAAAAAATCAAGTTATGATTATCCAAGCTAAGCTCATTTCCTTTAAATCATTCCTCGAAGATATCATGGACAAGGCAAAAGAGATAGATGACCAAACAAACCTTTGGAGACGAATTGTCAAGTTGGTGTTTATTGCAGAACATGTCATCAGCTCTTGTCTAGTTAAGAATCATCCCATTTGGTATGATATGTTGCGGCTTTCTGATGTAATACTTGCCTTTAACCTCATCGAAATTAAGGTGAAGAGGTATAGTGAGCATCAGAAGCACAAGAACAGATTGATGACAAGCAGTGTGACAAAGTGTAGTCATGTCTCCAGGAGGCAAGTGATACCTTCAAGTCTTGAAGATGTTATGGTGGATTTGAAAGATGAGTCAATGAAAATAACTGAGAAACTCAATCTGAGAACAAAACAACTTCAAATTGTCTCCATTGTAGGTATGGCCGGCCTCGGTAAGACTACTATAGCCAAAAAAGTGTACCATGATCCATCTACCACATACAATTTCGAAAGACGTGCATGGTGCTGTGTTTCCCAATCGTATAATCTTAGAGAGATGTTCTTGGACATTTTAACTGATGTCACTGGTGTTGATGCTCGCCAGTCTGACTATGAAAGTACTGATGATGATTTGGCTTTGAAACTCCGGAGAAGTTTGAGGCAACTAAGGTATCTCATTGTTCTGGATGACATTTGGAACATGGAAGCCTGGGAGTGCTTAAAGCCATCATTTCCTGATGACAAGAAAGGGAGTCGAATCATATTCACTAGCCGAATACAAAATTTGGTGTGGCAAGCAGAGCTAATCAACTGCAGTGTCCATTCTCTTCGGTCACTTTCTGATAGGGAGAGTTGGGAATTATTCCATAGGAAGTTATGCCATTATCATGGTTCCCCTCTTGATGAGGAACAATCAAAACTTGGTAAAAGTATTGTTAAAAACTGTAAAGGGTTGCCTCTATCAGTGGTTTTGGTTGCAGGTATTCTCGCGGGACAAGATATAGAATCATGGAAGCAAATTGAATGTAGTACAAGTTCAAAATTCGTCAGTGAGGGTTGTATGGATGTTCTTGAGCTGAGCTACAATCATTTGCCAAATCATTTGAAACCTTGTTTGCTCTATGTTGGAGGATTTCCAGAGGATACAGTAATTAAAGCTCAAAAGTTGATGAGTTTGTGGATTGCAGAAGGACTTGTACCAAGAAGTGATAACAAGAGTATCAGCTTATATAAAGTGGCAGAGGATTACTTGTCTGATCTAAGTAGTCGGAGCTTAGTAATACCTGAAAAGAGAAGTTTCAATGGCAGCATAAAGGTGTGCCGTGTTCATGACCTAATACATGATCTTTGCTTGGTGAAGAGTCGAAAAGATAACTTTCTACAACCGGTGCAGGACAATGATATAATTTCAGTTTCTCATTCTGCCTTGAATCCCCTGAATTATGAGAGCTATTATCGCCTGTGCATCTCTGCTGAATGGACCAAATTTATCAATGCTAAACCGGCAGGTCCACTGGCACGCTCTCTAGTTGCTCTTCGTGGTGATGAAAAATGGAAAATAGTTTCATGCGCCTCTGACATTTTTCATACCTTTAGACTTCTTAATGTGTTGGATTTGGAGTGCGTTAAAATAGATGGTCCTTTTCCTAAAGAAGTAACATTGATGGTTAATTTGAGATACCTAGCAATTTACTGTGTTGCATCAGAACTTCCATCATCCATCGCCAATCTATGGAACCTAGAAATCTTGATTCTTTTGAAAGGTTCATCAGATGGGCTCTTCTCTCTGCCAAGAACCTTTGTAGGAATGAAAAGCTTAAGGTACATATCCATTCCTTGGGTGCTGTTGTCAGATGGTCTTGAAGATCATGAGCATAGTCAATTGGAACACTTGGAAATGTTCTCAATGTTATATGCTAAAACCGCAAATCAGTTGAAATTCTTTTTGAGAAGGTTGCCAAGGCTCCGGAAGCTTAAGTGTGATTTGTTTTTCTTCTTTGAAGATGATCAGTTTCTAGGATTGAGCCGACTAACTCAGCTTGAATCACTAGATGTCAAAGGCCCAGGAAGTTTATCTGATTCAAAGAAATGGGATCATTTTCCGGTTTTGGATTTTCCCGGTAGCCTCAGGAAATTGTCACTGCAACGGTTCTTGCTGCCATGGAGTGCAATGTCGACAATCGGACAGTTGCCTAATCTAGAGGTTCTCAAGTTAAATAATGAGGCATTTTCAGGAGGCAGATGGGATGTGGAAGACGGCGCATTCTTGAAATTGAAGTACTTGCAACTCAATACTTTGGACTTTGAAGAATGGACTGTCCAAGATGATCCATTCCCCTGCCTTGAACAGCTTATAGTCAAGAGATGTCCCCGGCTTCACGGGATTCCACCTGATTTGGGAAACATTACCACTTTGAAGAAGATAAAGATGTATAGATCTGCACAAGCCTCAAGTTCAGTCAGGGAAATCTTCGAGGAACAACGAGAACTGGGGAATGATTTCCTTGAAGTTGTCATTGATGGAGATCATCTGAAGCGGCCATAGTGAAATGGAGTTGGTTTGCTGCGACTCAAGTTGTTTGGTTAGATTAAGAAAATGGATGTTTGATTTTGGCCTGTGTAATGCAATAAATCTTGTAGCCATTATATTTTAGGTTATTCAAGTTGCTATTCCTTCGGATAAAGTGAACTATTAAAATAGAACGAAGAAAGTAATAAACTTATCATTTGTCCTAAAATAAACCAAAAAATTTATTTCAGGTTGAGAAGTTAAACTATCACTACAAGTCCTTGTTCTGTTTGCTTGTGTATCTGTCAGATTGAGGATGGCAAACTCAGATATTAAATACTCCCTCCGTCCCATAATTATTGTCTATTTTGCCCAAAAAATTTTGTCCCAAAATTATTGTCCAATTTGACTTTTTATGGATCAAGTTACACATTTGTCCTTAGTAAAAAATATCATCCATAAAATCTTAGTGGTTAAACAATTACTTATGTAGGGGTATATCCGGTTGTTTAAGGTAAAATATACTTAAGTTTGACTAAAAATAAAATCTTTCATTTTAGTAAAACTGGACAATAATTATGGGACGGAAGGAATATTTCTTTTGATAATTTTTTTTTTCTTCTTTGAATCTCGCGTGAGTAAGATACAATTAAAATCAAAACCCAAAACTTATATCAAAGGCACTCAACCTAACATAACGACTGAAATTCTTCACGATTGCTTAGATAATTCTAAAGTTCATCATGAAACACCTCCAAATTAAAAGGAATTTTTTCTTCTTCAAAAATAAAAAAGAAGGAATTTTTTATTTTTTTTATTTAATCCTGAGCAAGATCATTTAAAGCCCGTCAGATCAGATTTAGAGTTTCCCAAATCACTAATTCGTGATAGATGTGGTACGAAAGAATCTTAAGTCTTTAATTAGTAGATTAACCACATCCCATTCAATTAACAATCTCAAATGAGTCAACGCTTCCTACCAATTGCAAAAGGCCAGCAAAGTTCACTTGCAAAACTTAATTAAACTATACATCCATTATTATGCTTAAACTAACAGCTATTATTGATCATGACATAAAACATACTACAAAAAATGGTTGACTTAATGTTTCCAAGATCCAAGGAGTAGATATTCACGTGATACCGAATTTTCACTGTTTTTCTCAGAAGAATCTCATAATTCATTACGTGTGACACATTATTATTTTAATTCAAGACTTGAGATTCTTTCGTACCACATCTATCACGAATTAGGATTTGGAAAACTAACCTGTGTATTTCGCTTAGATATTTTGGGAAGTGCAAATAAAAAATAAACAAATGTTGAAGGTTATAAATAAACATATAAAGCGGGAGTCGTCATTTGTTTTGGTACCAAACTTTACAAAACACAAATGGCGACCTTACCCGAGCTATGCCTTTATTTCATTTTTAGTTTTTTTCTTTTCTTTTCTTTTTCATTTCCGCCGAAATATCCAACTCTTAAGTCAGATACTATGATGAAACTGAAAAAAATTAATGACGGAAGACAACTTACAAAATATTCCGAATTAGGGGATTTCAGGTTTTAGTCCCAAATTAATTACTCTTTTCGCTTCGGTATTTATTATAATTCATTTTAATTTATCATAAGTTTTATCCCGTATGTTTTTTTTGATTAAGAAAAAAAACCTTAAACCATATTTTCATATTCATTGTATTCTCTTAATTATTAAAAAATATTTTTATTTTTTATTTTTTCAATTAAATTAACAATTTAAGTGAAACATAGAACAAATAAAAAATCTTATAATAATGATCAGAGAGATGATATATATTAACTAAATTTCGGAATCTCTTGACAAACCTCTCAAATGCGCCAAATTAGTTCAAGCTATAAAACTTAGGTGATTAATTTAGTCTCATCACCCCAGAGAAAAACGGGCAAAAATCGACAGAGTTAAAACCCTAAACCGATTAACGGAAGAAATATAGAGTCAACGTTTCTATAGCTTCCAATTCAGGGCGGCCAGTTCAGTTGTGTACGCTGTAGAGCTACATAAGCACGACTTTGTTTAAGCAGACAGCGCTTTCATGACGCAAATTTGGCAAAATATGAAAATACACTTAGTCAACGTTTACCTTTTTTTTTTCCCCTCAGAATAATCTAGTATATGTGGGTCCCATTGTGGAATAATCAGTTTCAACATGTTTAATTTACACACTCTTCGCATCTATGATTGATTGTCAAGTCCTTGTATAATTACGAGTTAGTTTAAAATCTCACTGCACATATACAATCTAAAAATACATGCAGGGATTTACGAAGTTGTGTGAAAGATTGGATAATTGCATTTTTAGTAGTTGGAAAGTCTAACTGATAATGAACAGATTACTAAATTAATGACTTTAAGACCCGAGATAAAGAGAGATTGGAACTGAACTTGGTAGATTATCTGAAACTACATTAGAAAAGAAGAGTTACATTAAATGGGGATAAAAATAATGAAAAGCTGGTAGAAAATTTTTATAAAAACATGCAAAATAATCACAAGTTGAACCCGGAAAATAAAATGCCATGCTTGTTTAACCAGAAATTATTCATGATGGTTTGTTTTGGTTTAACGGAATCATGTGTTAAAATTCATTCAACTCCTTATTAATAATGGAAAAAATATATCTATAAGATCATGACAGAAACCAGCCTCGTTAGATGATTTACATCATTCCAAATTAAAAAACCATATAATTAATGGTCAACGCGTATAGGTTCCAATTGTGGAACGCCAGGTCCATTGTACAGTACAAGATTAATTTGTTTAAGCAGACAGCAGAATTATTACGCAAACTAACGTAACATATGATAATAATTGAGTCGGAGTACGTTTCAGATATCGAAGGATTGCTGAATATTCATTTGATACTGAATTTTTACGTTTTCTCAGAGGAATCTATCTTACGTAGCTCCCTACACGGAATCATCGTGGACAAATTAATGGAAGAAAAAAATTACTTTATTTTAATTTTTTCGGTACACAAGAGAGGAAGACTTTGTACCTTTTAATTAGTTTTGATGCCAAAGCTAATCAGGATTTTTATTTCGGTATATAACGTGCTTGATATCCAAAACTATTGTTTATATTCAAATATTTAATTAGATATATAGTTTGATAAGGTAAGCGGAATATTAGAGATGGTAATTCGAAACTATTGTCCAGATTGATCTAGCAAAAGTGAGGACTGATCAGAATATGCCGAGAACCGCTCAAGGGGTTTGTGTTTGCTGCCCAAATATGAGTTGTGTAAAAAAAAAAAAAGAAATGAAAAATCCCTTATAATTAATTATCTGCTACCAAATGTGATTAAGTAAACATAATGATATAACTTCAACGCTGCTAGATCATTTTAAAATTTTGGTGAAGAATGAATCAATAGTGAGACATGGGGAATTGAAAATGATAGCTTACTTTTCAAATTATAAATTCTATTTAATTTTTTTTTAATAAGGTGTCAAATTTAGGGGAATTCTGTTGGCAACTAATGGTTCCAAAAGTTACAATCATTTATACATTCACAGAAATTCTGATATATCCAATGATATACAAGACACTTTTCTTCAAACATCACCATAAGATTCTTATTGTGTGCAGTTTTCTTCGTTTTGCCTGGTATCTTTATCGGGACATAGCTAGCAAGTTTTGCACCCAAATTAAGAAACCGAAGCTTTAAAAAGGATAGATTCTCTAACACAGAATCCCAGAAACAGATTCTTCCTTGTTTTTTCTCCAACTAGTACAATATATATTATAGGTGTTACGTAGATTTCTCAGCAAAATCATATAAATTATATAGTTTGACTTCATAATTTTCTAAACATGGTTGGGTGTTGCATTTGGCGTTGTTGGCGCCGGAGCGACACGCCTCCCACGTTCCGATCGACTATTCTCGGCGAATTTCAGGCTACTTTGATGCATCCCTTTCTTCCTTTCTTCCTCATTCCACTCAGAAACATAATAATGTTCTTCAGTACTCTTGTTAACATCTTTTGATGCAGGAAGAAACATCCCGCCCCACTGCGGGAAATAAACCAGTGTCACAGGGAGTGTACAGGCGACGATCATGACGCCCATGTAAGATAACCCCGTGGCGGTGGAAAATCTCGAGCTCGCGAAAAACACGAGCTGTGTTAATCCGGACCCGAAATTTCCACCGGCTCCGGTCATCCCGGAAATGATACCCAATGATCTCCTCGAAATGAACGGGATTATGCCGAATGTGGCGCCGCAGGCGGCCTGAGCTCCGACCGAGAAGAGGATCATGAATGCGACCGCGATCGGGAGTGAGTTTGATCGGCCTAATAGGATGCAGAAAACGCCTCCTAAGGTTTGTAGAGTCCATAGTACCCAAAGTCTTCCCCTCATTCCGAACTTTCTCGCTGCGTAGTCGGAAGCGAAACCGCCGAATGGTCTGGCCACAAAGTTGGCCATACCAAAGCACGCCGCAATTGTGCCGGCCGTTCGGAGCTTTAGATCAAATCTATCAAACAAATGAGAAAATGGGTTTAAATACTTTGACTTTCTCCAACATGAGATAATCAAAAGTTTAAGAATGTATATTAATTCTGATGTCACAAAAAAAAAGTCTACTTTATTTATTGAATTAAAAATAGAAGAACAAAAATAGGCTATTTTTCTAGGGCATAAGGAGTTAATGGAAATTATACCTGTCATAGAAATATTCAGCAATGACATTGTCGGTTGTTAGCTCTACTCCCATGGAGTAACCATACAGAAGAACAAAGATCCAGGTTCTGTAGTTTGTGATTGCATACCATAGCACCTGTAGAAATCATTAATGAAAACAATTTTAAACGAACCAGATCGAATGAGAATTAGTTTGAGTGAGGTCAAGTAGTTAATTAAATTAATTACCCACCTTGGAGAATTGATCTTTGCTAACATTTCCTTTCTTCTGGAGTGCACCAAGGTTTCCATCAGGCAAATCTTGGCCAAGAGTTAAAACCAAGATTCCCATAATAACATGACACCAACCAGGAATAAAGAAAGCAATCCTCCAGGCAGTAAACGGAGTCGATCCAGCTTTCCTAATTAGGTCATACAGAAGAGGCATAATCAGCTGAGTTGCACCGCCTCCCATATTACCCCAACCGGCCGCGGTTCCGTTCACCAAACCAATGATTTTGCTGTTAAACATGGTGCTCATCCAGTACTGACACGACACGAACGTCGCGAGCGAAAACCCGATCATGAAACGCACGGCGATGTACCCTCCGGCGGAGGATACAAACGGCATGCAAAACACGGTAGGAGCAGAAAGCATGATGAGGAACGCGCAGCCGTATCTCGGGCCGAGAAGGTCGCAAACGGCACCCATACAGAGCCTGGAGAGGATACTTCCGGACACGGACGCCACCCCGGCGTTCCCGATATCCTGTTTGGTTAGATTCAGGTTGTCCCGGATGATCGGGACCAACGGGGCGGCCGCGAAAGTGGAAACGAAACAAGTGAAGAAAGAAATCCATGAGAGGTGGAAGGTTCTCATGTGGGGTTTTGCGAAGGAAAAGAGCTTGAAAACTGTGGCTTTGTGTTCCGAATCAACCGGAAGTGCGAAATTCGCCGTGGGATCGGTCGGAACAGTTCCCGACGCCACGGCGAATGCATAGGTTTGTTCCCTGCCTGTTACTCCATGCATTGAACTTCCAGGTGAACCCTCAATATCAACCATCTTTTTCTGTTTTTGGGTTGATGATGAAAAACTACTACAAATGTAAATGAAAATGTGAAGAAATAAGTACTGTTGAGTGACTCTACTTGGGAAGATTCAAGAGTTGTGGGTATTTATACTAACCAAATAGTTGACAATTGTTTTAAAAAAAATCTTTAGGATTCTTTAATGAAAGGAATAAAAAAACTAAGGTTTCCAGGTTTATTTGGGGAATACATATTTAGGCATGTGGGGGATGCCTTATCATGAATCTCAAAGGATGGGGTCAGTACCCTTTCAAGTGGGTTCTACACTATTGAAACAGTTTGCCGCGTAAAACTTTACCCAAGTTTTCCAGTTCTTATGTAATAATACTACATAGCTAGCTGCTTCCTGTTAATCAAACGGTAGGTTATCAAGAAAAGACAGCGGTTTTTATTTGTAGTTAATTGGTTTTAGATCATGATCCAAATCAAGGAAAGCGATGTTATTCACTATTAGGTAATTAGTGCAAGTATAATGTTTGAGTCAGTTTAACTATAAGTCAATGAAATAACTATAATAACACCATTTTGTTAAGAGTAATTTATTTCGCTAAAGAAAATCTTTTCCAGATAAATATTCTAGCTTGATAAAAGAAATTGGATATGTAACCCACTGTTTCACATTTAGATTCATGAATCCTTTCATTTTCGTAAGATACCACACGCATAGTTAATTTTTGTACGGTTTCAGTCTCAAAGTGATCAAATATGGATACTGAGATTGGAAAGGAAAGAGCTAGCAAATGTTTTTTGTTTCCGTCTGAAACCCTTGTATATATCTTAATCGCAAATTATTTATAGTTACGTTAGCAAGAATTGTAAAGTTTGATGTGAAAATGCAAGATATAAGTCTTTTTCTAAGACCAAAAGTAGCACATATTTTTCAATGCTTGCCTTCTTTAAAAGTTAAACTTCAAATCTTTCTCTGCAATTAGTTGATGGAGATTGATTTGCCAAGGCTGTGTTTAGATAAAAATCACAATTGCCAACCCCTTGAAATATTTGTTTGGTATATTACGCACTTGGTGTTTGAAATTAGCGCTCCGACTAATCCAGATTTGAGTCGGGTAATAACAACTATTTGTAATTAATTTCTATACACATTTTTTTTTTTTTACTTTCTCATCACTGTCGTTCACACTTATATAACAGCTTTCCATCTTTGAATTTAAATCGAAACGAAAAAAAGAAAAGAAAAAATCTAATCTACTCAGTCATTCTTTTCTTTCAATTATTTGTTTCCTCTGTTACGTACGACCTACACCACATTCTTATTGTGGGTTAATAAAAATATACTCTCTGCGTAAAAAAGATGCGCCCGTCCAAGACGAATTCTTCTATACTGTTTGCATAATTGATTTTCATACAACCTTTCTTAATTCATAGGGAACATTCTAAGATCAACTTCAGTACATTTTATTATTGAAATTTGTAAAAAGAATAGACCATCAATCACTATCTCCTGGAAATGTTTACAAAGTTTTGGATTTTTGACTCGCAATTTGCTCTCAACTTGCAGCTAATAATTGATTAATTAATTGAACTCGCCTTTGCTCCACTTGTGGGGGGATACTGCAATTAAATTCTTTTTCCTGCACTGTTGGACGCAAAGATGATCACGTACGTAATAATATATATAGTATAAACTTCCTGCGAGGAATTCTAAAGTCTTAACAATAGTTAATGATGTTTTTTTTTTTTTTAAAAAAAAAGGCATAATCTGTTCAAATCTGCATCCCATAAGAGCTAATACAATTGCCATGAAACATAGCTGATTAGCTGTAATTCGCATCGCAATTAACATGTTACTGAACTTTTAACTTCTTAATTTTCATGTCTTTAATTTGATTATAAGAGTTCTCAAATTTCGGGCGAGAATGCATTTCGATCGTTAAAAGATTAATCAAATACAAAAAAGCCACTCAATAAAATTTTTTAAATTGACAAATTCAAAGTTCAACCAGTAAAAGCAATGATGCAACAGGAATCTCGTAGAACATTTAGGTGTATATATGCAGAAATATTGATCAGTTTCACCGTCCCGACTCCAAAAGAGTGGCAAGTCAACACCTTCAATCAATCAATTATATGAAACTCGTACCTTCGGTTTTCCGCAGACCTAATTTTTTCGTTTGTTTTGGCTTAACATAGCTAACAAAGGTCACAAAATAGAGTTTGGTAAGCTCGGTTTTTCCCTTTTTATGTTTTCTGTTAATATTATTTTTTATATTTTTTTTGAAAGTTTATTGAGTTGGTGAAAGATTGGACCTGATTTTCATGCCAAAAATTCCAAGCAAATTGTTTGTCTTTTCGCCAAAGGTTGAAGAAATAAGGGGGCATGTAAAAGGGTTGCTGGTAGTAACTATCACTGCTTGAACTTTTTAGCCATGTAAAGAAAACACTACACCAAACGCTTGAAAATATTACCCTTTGCATGCGTCTCGCAAAAATGTCATTTTATTATAATATTTTAGTCCAACCCAGGAAAATATTTTACTTTACCTATACTTTTTTAATTTAACAATTAATGAATTATTTTTGTGGATGAAGCGGTACAAGCATGGTTTTCGGTGAAATCTACACCCGGTTATATATATGATACGCTACAGTTAGTTTTCATAAAAATTCATGACCTGTACCTAGCTAACTTCCATTTCTATATGAGCTTCGAATTTGCTATTTGGCGTCTAATGTATTCCACATCAGGCCTCTTGTATATGTTTCCAAAGTTTAAAATTGAAGCATATTGCAACTTTAACTTTTTTTTTAAGAGGTACCTGTATATTAATAAGAAATACCTAAGTTATTACATCGCATTCTATTGAATGTTAAATTATGTATTTCTAATACATCTTGTCTATGTTTTTTAATCAGTGTACAAGATTGAAAATTGGAAATAGTAGTTATTAAGGAAGAAATTATATCTTGAGCTTCCGACGGTAGTATAAGGGAATGCAAATCGGAAGTAAGGTTTTCACAAACCGTGTGTACTTGGATCCTCGTGAATCCTAAGAAACTAGCCTCTTGTAAGGTCATGAGGCAGGTCATGGCCTCTGATTGAAAAGGAGATTGCAATGTAAGGGCTACAGTCTTGATTTGCAACACCACTTCATGCGGTGAAATAATTTTACATGCCCCCACAGCCCGCCTTGTTGTGTGGCTAAATGATCAATGAACACATGAGATAGGTATGAAAAAATGCTCAACCTTAATGTCAGAAGAAAAATGCTATTCCTTCCGTTTTGAAAAAATAATTCACTCGACTGTATTAAATCATCTCTTCAGTGTCGGAGGAGGGAGTATTAATTAGTCTAATGGTTAGTTTTTATGTGCACTGCCTATGTAATGTTACTATCAACAACATGCAAAACATTTCTTTTCAAACTAAATAGTGTGATAAACTGACCTTTAATATGGGATTATACATGGTTCCTCTGGATACAGATGATTTCGGCAAGTCTCAACTTACTATATAAGTGACAATTTAGGATCAGAAAACTCCATAAAAAATAATGAACATTGAAAGTAAGGTAAGGAGATCAACATTCAAAGTAGAGTCTAGGTGTCAAGCACAGAAAACATGACTTATGGAAGTTCGATTGCATTCAAAAAAATATGGTAACAGCGTGAAACAAAACCTCGGTTGATGATCATAAATTCGTGTTCCTAACTAAGTTGGAGTAGTTTTTATGTTGAATTGGTGCTCCTCCTAAAATAAACATATTATGGTTGTATTGCATTACATTTAAAGAGGTACGTAATTTGTTGTCTTGTGTCACAACGCACAAAGTAACACCAAAAAAAGACACATGCAAAACGTGCAGTAATTAACTTTTATCACTTGGAACAGAAGAAAATGAGAATTCGAAGAACAATTAAAAAAATAAATGAAAGAAGAGATACTTTGAAGACTATATTGTGTCTGGTTTAAATTTAAATGATTGAGATAAAAGTTTATTTATAGGTTGCTTACACATGATAACTAAACTATTTTTACTACTAGATAATAATGAAATAAACTAAACCTATCAATTTATTATTCCAATCTATCTATTAAAACTAAATAAGGACTCTTTTTGATTATTTCCTTTTCATGACGATTATCTATAACATCCTCCCTCAAATTGAGTCAGGTTTGGAGACACAGTTTGCTTCTTGAGTTATTCTGACCGCATTTTGGATTGCTTTCCATGTGAATGGTAAGATTGCAAGTGATGTAATGTGTGATTTTGAGTGGTGTACTCAAATTGCTGAATTGTTAGAAATTTAGAAACGCCACTGCTGTGTTAGATTATTGCATGAAAAGTTCAATGTGATCGAACGTTTGCCATGATGTGGATTTTGGTAGATTGACACAGATATATCTTTTTATTTTTCAACTACTGATTTTTTTTTCTTTTTTTTTTGGATCAATTGAAATTTGATCTTCATGAAAGAAAAAAAAAAGAATATTTGGGTAACTGAGATTAGTTTGTAAAAATATGTGATGGTGGACTGGGTGAGATACGTGAATGGATTGGATCAAGTTGGACTGGTTGGAGTGATATCAGAAAATGAATTTGTGGAAATAGACAAAAGTATATATGTTTAATGTTAGAAGGAGAACATTACGAGAGTAATGAGTTTGACAAATTTGACATTTGAATATGAGATAATATAGAAGAGTGATGATTATTTCTTGAAAAGGAAAATACGTGGAAGCAAGGTTACAACCTGCTCTGATACCAAGAAGAAAATGAGAATTTGAAGAACAATTAAAAAATAAATGAGAGAAAAGATACTTTGAAGGCTACATTGTGTCTGGCTTAAATTTAAAATACTGAGATAAAAGCCTATTTATAGGTTGTTTACACATGATAACTAAACTATTTTTACTACTAGATAATAATGAAATAAATTAAACCTATCAATTTATTATTCCAATCTATCTATTAAAACTAAACAAGGACTCTTCTTAATTATCTCCTTTTCATGACGATTATCTATAACATCATCTCTCTTTAACAGGAACTCATTCATTAACATTGGATATTATTGGTAATACTCATGAACAAATCCTAATTAATAGAACCCTTTTTTCCCCTTATCTTTCTTGCTGAATTAGATCGAACTAATGAGGTTTTGACAGCAAATCGTCGTCCTTGTCATAATTAGATGGAGCTGATCTTCCCAAACCAACGGGCGCTGCAACCATAAACCTGGCAAAATGCTTGCAATGTAAGCAGCAAAATCAGCAATATTCCAAGAATCAGCTTCGCAGTTGCCTCAGATGGAACCAAATGATCATTTATGAAACTCCAACATTTGACCCGGAAAGTGTTTTCATAATCCTCATTCAACTTCTCGACAATCCCTTCAAAATCAGCCTCCATCCCACTAGATTTATTCATCCCGTTGAAAATTTTCGCGATTTCCTCACTTGGAAGTGGCGATTCGATTATTCCATTCGCCTTGAGAAATTCGACATCTTCAGCAGTGTCAATTATCCCGCACATGAAATCCAGGTAACTGGAAATCACATTGTTAGAACCTGATGCTAATTCATAGGCCACCAAGTTTCTTAAAATGGCTTCAGAGTCAGTGTTCAATCTGATCACTGGCAGGTACAGGGTTCGATTCTGCTCCTCGTATTTCACTGCATTGGCCGAAAATCCTGCAGCCCTTTTCTTAAACTGGATTTTCAAAGCTCGATGAAGTTGAGAAGCTGAAGGAATGTTGATCTCCTGTATTGAAGAGTTCTCAATGCCATTGGCATTATCCTTCTTTTTCAACAGGCCAAAGAATTCCTCCAATGGCAAATTTGCCAGCAACAGCAGAGGCTTTAGCCCTGTTAAATCCCCTGCAACTTGGGCAACCTGTTTAATTCCACCAGGAAAACCGGCCTCGGCCGAGAAAAACACAACCGGTTCTACAGAAGACATTGTATAAATCATCAAATTATACATTACATCAAGAATATGAAGGTATTTTGTACCACCAAAAACACTCATTTGTCCAGAGTTTACAAGGTCAAGCGGAGAATGCGATTCGCAGAATGACACCATTTCTGCGAACAATTTCTCATCCATGTTTTCGAAACCATCCTCAATTTCATCCTTTTTACCTTCGTTTGGAGGGGTATTCAAGGACTTATTGATTTCCTTTAGGACAATGCAAGGCAGTTGATTCTCCATCATCAAAATATCCTCTGTTAAGTCCCTGTCATCAGGTTGAATGTTGTTCTCCTGTTTTGGATATTTGCTCAGCAGGTGAAGCAAATATATGCCATCGATTGACATAATCCAAGCTAAAGTATCACAATCAAGATCCAAATACTTGCTGTAACAAGAACGGATTTCTGGCTCAAGAGCTCTTACCTTATCAACAATCAAGCTCTTGAAGTTCTGATATTGTTCTGGGCTTAAAAATCCCTTCACGGCCTCGAGTTTTTCGCTCTGCATTTCTTCAAGATCAGGACGCAAATGATGAAATGCTCCAATCCCAACTTTCTGTGGTGAATAGGCTTCTGGATTTGTATCACTGACAATCTTAGGAACTTGGAAGATGGATGGAGGATTTTCAACATAAATAGTGAAATGCTGGTTTAGCTGATCAACCCATCTCTGCTCACTTGTGTTTGAGCTGAAAATTGAGCTAGCCATTGTACTGGAAACTGGAAAAACTGTAAATTTTTCAATGGAATTCTACAACAAATTTTTCTTGAGTTGGCAATGGAAAGTGAACAAATTTGTGGTTATCTTTTTCCCTCATATGTGAATGATTGAAAGTTGTTGAATCAGTCAAGGGCCAATTAACTGCTGAAGAGTAGCTACCTACTGACTACTGGGGTTGTACTTGAATTGGACCACTCAGAATAATAAATGATGAAAAGAGCAAATGCTTCTTTTTCTTAACTACAAAAAGGCCAAAAGGCAACATCAGATTTAGGGTAACCTTAACTTTTCTGGTCTAAAAAATGATTGTCATGCTCTCTTCTTTTAGTTTTAGGTAATCCATCAATATTGCATTTATTGTGTGATTAAGCACCTCAATTGTTAGAGAAGCATTATGTAGCTAGGTTTTTTAGCTCCTGCATCAGGACTTACATGCATCCAAAAGAGAGATCCTGACAACCAAGACATCATCTACGGCCCTCAAAAGCTGTAGTACTACTTGTTTAGGAAGCCCTTATTATGAGCAAATTTCTATTCAATCATACACCATTCCAATGCGTGATTTTAATTTGGAGATACTGAACTGAGAGTCTTTAAAATATTATAGGGATTCATGAAAATATTACAGAATCAAATGGATAATGTATGCTTTTGTACAGTCGGTCATTCACTTTTAAAAAATAAAATTTCTTCCTTGCCTTTAGGTAATGTTCATTTATTTGAAATTTTTCTTCCCTTTGAAATTAAGTTCACTGAAAATCTATCTAAAATCCTTGTCGCAGGAAGCAAAAAAAAAATTCTTTCTCCCTTCACCCAAACTGTAATTTCTCAATAATCTGTTTTGAGGGAATAGTCTTTTCTTTACAAATTATATACACGCATTACATTTCTGATGACTAGAAAAATCCCACCCCTTTATAAGTACATCTTTCTTCTGAGATGTACAAAATCAAAACTCGATGTGAGACTATTTTTTTGAGATGGATGGTATTATTTATTTCGAAATCTAAGTTGTAAGCTGTTCAAATAGTTAAATTCGGTTCAAATAGTTAAACTGAACACGAAAATAGCATAGACATTTATTTTATTTTATTTTAGTTTTGACTAGGAAGGTAATATCATATGCAATTCTTATAATGTCGTGATTAAAATTACTTTAAATGTCTAGTGGCGGTGAATCCAAACTTAAAAATCTACCTCCTGAACCCCTATAACCCATAAAACAATTTTTTTTATTTGTATATACACATAAACTAATTAAATTCACTAAAAATAAAAAATTAAACATAATCCTCCAAGAAGTTCCCAAATTGTAGTGTTTTTGTACCAAAGCGAAACACATGCTACTGTTAATAATCAAAATTAACTATAGATCCAAAATACGAACAAGCCACTTCTACCGGCTACCGCTGCCCGAACGAAGAAAATTCAAGTAGTCAAAGGGAAACAAACACCGGAGCTGAAGACCTGTGATTCAAGTTCCCGTTTAAATTCATCAGTCCCTTTTCTCTATACCCAACAATCGAAATCGTAAAGACTATTTCTCGGGAACTTTTTGCGGCGTTAGATTGTTCGACATGCCGCAAAGTAAAAATGATCCTCGTTTTGAACTGAACCCATGCTGTTTGCTTGTTCAGCTTTCCTGTGATCCTGTATATTCCTGATGTTTATGCTGCTGGCGATCCTGTATATTCCTGATGTTTATGCTGCTGGCGAAGCCGTTAGACAAGTTCACCATTGCAATTGCCTACAACCTGTTCGACAAATTGACTCACAGAACTTGATCACTGAACCAACCCGAAGGAATTCATCAGAGCATATATGGAGTTTGATATATTATTGTAATTGGCGCGCTTCAACAAGAACGCTAGGAAGTAAGAACTATGAACGCAGAATCCTTCATTCAGCATGTTCTCGCCAAGGCGACCTCCTTTGCGAATCCCAACAAAAAGACGGCAGCCTCCAATGCCAAGGTCTTAACACCCAAAATCCTCAGCCTTCTCCGCTCTGGCCGCGTCCTTACAGCCGTGCGGATTATTTGCTCGTCTTCTTTTGCTTTTGATCCCTCTCTCTACGCTACAATCTTCAACGAGTGTGGCAATCACAAGGCGATAGTGGAAGCCCGGAGAGTAGAAGCACATTTGCACTCTTTTGTCGCAGACCCACCAACCTTTTTGCTCAACAGGGCGATAGAGACATACGGGAAATGTGGGTGTGTGGCTGACGCGAGAGGGTTGTTTGACGAAATGCCTAGTAGGGATGGAGGTTCGTGGAATGCTTTGATCACTGCTTACTCAAAAAATGGGCGTGCAGAGGAGGCATTTCATTTGTTTCATGACATGCACAAGTCCGGGGTTGTTTCACCGAGTGAAGTGACGCTTTCTAGTGTTCTTGGTTCATGTGGGTCAGTTTTGGAGTTATGTCTTGCGAGGCAAGTTCATGGGCTGATCGTGAAATATGGTTTTATTGGGAATGTTATTTTGGAGAGTTCCATGGTAGATGTTTATGGCAAGTGTGGAGAGATGGATGAGGCGAGGAGAATGTTTGACGAAGTTAAGGAACCAAATTCTATTTCATGGAATATCATTATAAGAAGGTATCTTGACATGAATCTTGGAGAGCAGGCGGTACTGATGTTTTCTAAGATGGTTACGATGAAGGTGAATCCATTGAATTTTACTGTTTCTAATGCTCTTATTGCTTGTTCCACTATGAGGGGACTTAGAGAGGGTGTTCAAATTCACGGATATGCAGTGAAGATTAACTTAGAAGACGACGAGGTTGTAACAACCTCCCTTATCAATATGTATGGAAAATGCAAGGATGTGGCTAGCGCTTCGATGATATTTGATCGTCTCTCCACAAACGATTTGATTAGTTACACTTCTATGTTCTGGGGGTTTGCCACGAATGGAAAAATCAGGGAAGCCAGAGAACTATTTGATCAGATGCCAGAGAGGAACACAGTGTCATGGAATGCAATGTTATCTGCATACACTACTTCAGGTCAATGGGATGAAGCTTTGGACTTCTTTTTTCTAATGCTAAAAGAGGGTATATCTATTGATCATGTTACTCTTGCTTTAATTCTAAAAGTATGTTCTGGACTTTCAGATATTCAACTCGGGAAACAGATTCATGGATATATCTATAGGCATGCCTTCTACCATAATGTGATTGTTGGAAATGCAGTTCTTGACATGTATGGAAAATGTGGAAATTTAAAGCAAGCTAGAGCTTGGTTTTCTGAAATGGTTCATGTGCGAGACACTGTTTCTTGGACTTCTCTTTTAGCAAGCTATGCAAGGCGCCAAATGAGCGAACAATCCATGGATATGGTTGGGGAGATGCTTGAAGAGGCAATCCCAAGTAATTTTACATTTCCATCACTCTTAGCGGCTTGGGCCAATATTTTTGCACTTGAACCAGGAAAACAAATTCATGGATATATGATTAGGAATAACTATGAGATGTGTACTGTTACTAGTGCAGCTTTGGTTGACTTCTACTCCAAATGTCGACGTATTGATTATGCCATAAGAGTTTTTAAAAGGTCAGATTTGAGCGATGTGATTATCTGGAATTCTATGATGCTTGGGTGTTATTACAATGGAAAATGTAAAGGAGCACTGGAGTTGTTTGAGTTAATGGAGAGGAAAGGATTAAAGCCAGACCATGTCACTTTTCATGGATTGCTGCTGTCTTGCGTTTCGGAGAGCTGCATTGAGCTGGGGAGGCAGTATTTTGATTCAATGAGTGAGAAGTATTGTATAATTCCACGGTTGGAGCATTACCAGTCTATGATTGAACTGTATGGCCGGCATGGGTGTATGGAACAACTTGAGCATTTCATCAAGACGATACCATTTCAACTGACCTCTCAAATGTTAGTTCGAGTCTTTGACTTTTGCCGCAAACAAAAGCACTTGCAGCTGGGAGAATGGGTAACGGATCAACTTAATAGATTGAATCCTGAAAAGCAATTGAAATTTGACATAGGGAGGAGTTGATTCTCAAAGTAGCTGCAGAGGTTCTTTTGTGCAGGTAACGGAAAGGTCTAAGAATATTTCGTTTGTTCTTCAAGATTTGGTAAAGTGGGGGAAATAAGACTTAAAAAGAAGCTTTGACAATAGAATTCTGTTTTTTTTTAATCTTTCTTTCATTTTGAAATCATTATTTGGTACATATTGCAGGCCATTTGTCCGCCTCTTTTATTCTTTTGTTGTATGCCAAATTTCTTAGCTGTGTAAAAGTAGAAAATAAGAATTGGAGAGGGAAGGGAAACGATAAAAGAGACAATGGTAATTGAACCGTTCTTCTGTTGTTGAGGAACTAAGTCCCTTAAAAACTGGTCAATGTTTGGTAGTGAGATTCTATTCTTAGATATTACCATTCAGTGTGGTCAAACTTTAGAGATACCAGATCCGTGTATTAGCACAAGATTGATGGATGTGAAATCATGCAAAGATATTTTGGTCTGTGCATGTATGGTAACACTTACGCTACTACCAGAGGTTTACTAGCTGCTATAATGGAGATACTTCAGCAGTGTTTTGTAGGAATGGAGTCAGATACATATCTCATATGTCCATTTACATTTCAAGTCATCTGGTGTTACCTTGGCCTTTTTGCTATTATCTTCAATAAAATATGAAACTTATGTTCACTATATTGGGATCAATTAGAGTCAATGTTTTGATTATATCATTACTTTCATGTTTATAGGTGGATCTGATGTCATTTGATTAATTCATTTATTCTTTGTTTATAGGTGGATTTGATATCTCAGCAGACCATCGGCATTATAAATGAAATTTTATTTCAAGGAACTCTTTGAAACCAAGGACATGTTTTGTGCCCAATTTGTTCAGCCTTCGAGGACCAGCTAACATAATTAAAGATTGCTGAAGATGACAGCAGCGGTCCTATCCTATCAAATCATATTGCACGGTACGTATCGGCTTAGTTCCTACCTGTTTTAAGAGCAGGTGTATGGCTTTTGAGATCTCTAAAACTTGATTGGTGGCTGAAAGCATTCTGTTTTTCTCGATCACTTGATGAAACATGGCTTAGTCCATCGAGCAATTGCCTCTTCACCCTGAATAGTGTTTTGCTGACCAAAGAAATATAGTTTAACCCGAGAGAGTCGAGGCAGCAGATTCAGAGCTCTTGCAGAAGTTTTAGAACACTTCTGTAAATGAGTGAAAATGAGCTGATGATAGAAAATTGAATTGATGTTGTCGTACAAATATTCTTTGGCGTATTAGTCATCTAGTCAATGAACGGTCACATTAAGGTATTGTGTGGCTCTGAAAGTAGCATAGCTGCATGTCAATAAATGGGGCGCTTGTCATTGTTGAGGAATTCCTTAATAGATTCTTGAAAGAATGGCTTCTGTGCTACCTAGTTAATTTCTAGAAGTGAGGTTCTAGTGGTTGTAAGTTGTAGATCCATGTCGGAGACGTTTATAAACTCTCAGTCTGTCACTAATAAAGTTCATCTTCAACTCCTTTTACAAGCATCCACATTTTGTAATCTTTTGCTCAGGGTCTAGCAGTATCTCTCTTTTGCCTTCTTGGGAATATACAACGTCTGCTGAATTTACTAATAAGGAATTGAACTTGTTCGTAAGCTTGCAGCTCTGAGACTTGAAGAGAAGCAAGGTGATTTGGCCAGTGTCTCTTCAAGCCTTTTAGCTGTTGTTGGACTAGGAAGGAGGGCCAGATAATTAAGTTCCACTCGTATTTCATGCTTGCAGGTTGGAAGTTAAGATTTCCATGTCAAAATTTCGAAATTATTTTCATAAGATGAACCAGTCTCTATTTTGTGTTGTGTCCGTACCGGGCTATTTCAGTTTAGATTCGATCTCTCACTTGTCCACACATTATGCTCAATAGTTTTCTTTTAATCTATTTATTTACTTTTTGTTGGTACAAATAGTTTAAGTATATCTATTGAGTTTCTGTAAACTTTGGGACTAAAACGTTGGTTTTCAGTCCGTCGGCATATGATACAAAAACATACAAATCCTTTGGCATAATAAACTCACAAAGGAAGTAACAACTTTTTCCCCGTTCCAAATTTAGTATTAATTTCAAACCAAGCAACTTCGTCAGATATATATACCATATATCGGGCAGGATTTCAACTTCGTATCAAAACCCTAACTCTATCCGCCAACACTCATACAGAATTTTCGGTAATGGCTATTCAGTTTGGTAGGATTCCGATGGCAAAGAAGAATAAGAAGAAGAGAAAGGTTATGGATCTTGTAACCTACAAACTAAAGTTTAGGTTTTTGGCAGCGAAGAAGAAGAAGAAGAGGATTAAGTTTTTAGCTCGAAAAACTAAGAAACTAAGGCCAGATAGGGTTAAGGAGATGGGGATTGTTGGAGTTCCAGATGATGTTATACCCGACATATTAGTTCTCCTTCCGACAAAATCCCTCATGAGATTGAAATCCGTTTGCAAGCTATGGAAAACCATAATATCCGGTCCAAGATTTGCCGAATCACATCACGAGCAGTCGAAAGCCAGGCCAGAAGCTAGTTGTATGTGGTTGTACATCAAAACAAATTCTTCGACCTTACCACGAGCAATCTTCCCAGTGGATCCAGACGGAACTTTCTCAAAACGGCTTAAAACTTACAACTTCCGGGGTAGCATCCCGTGCTCGGATATTGTCAATGGGATGGTTTGTGTGTGTGGAGATATAAACGACGGGTATCAACTTCACTTACTTAACCTAACTTCAGGCGAAACCATACCCTTGCCAAAACCTAGATATCGACTGAATAGTTGGTGGATTCAGAATCGATGGTCTTTTCATATCTTATGTATGGACAATAAGTATAAGGTTTTGTTCGTTGAAATAAATCCCGGAAGATACGTTGGAAATATTGAGATTTTAACCTTGGGAACAAGGAGAATGGGTTGGAGGAAGGTAACTTCGGAAGTTAATTACAACCTAGGAACAAACACAATATCTGTTTATGGGACAGTTTTTTGGCAGGATAAGTACTCATCATACCAGAATGGTCCTAAGGCTGTGAAGTTTTTTGATTTTCGGAATGAAAAGTTTTTCCAGCTAAAACTTCCGGAAGGAGTGGATGGAAGCTGGGAATTGGCTCGGATTGGGGATGACGTCGGACTTGTGCGCCGGAAAAGCTATAACCCTTGTGTGTTCAAGGTGTGGAGATACGAATCTAGGGTCAAATGGTGGACAAAGTACGAGGTAAATCTGGGGAAGCAGACAATCTGCAACGTTAAATTCATTGGACAGACAAGGAAAAGTAGCGAGATCTTACCCACTGGCCACAAATCGCGGAATGATCCTGTCTTGCGGTATATTTTTTTTGATTTTGAAACAGGAAAATGCAGTAGGCCTTCTTTTGAAGTAACTTACCCAGGGACTACTCTGTGTTGTCATGGTGTTAGTCCTGCTGTTAGTCATCATGTCGAAAACATTCTTCCTTTGAGATCTCTGATCGAAAGCGAAAACTACCGATGAAAATGCTGGAAATTCTAAAAGGATGAATGCAGTACATGTCATTCATCCTAAATTGTGGTAGTTATTCAAGAGTATGGCTCATCTTATATATATTTGTTTGGTTGTTTAATTTCCTCCCTTTAGGAACCAGAGTGTAGTCTCTTATCTGTTTGAGTAGCTAGGTAGCATTCATCGTTTTTCAGATTTCGGCATAAAGAACTGTCATGATTCTGCAATCTTATTGATTTTGTTCACTGTTTTTTTTTTTTTTTTCTTCCTTTGTTGAACCTAGTTTCGGTTTTTTACAACTCAATTCTTCCATTTGAAGTCGATTTTTTTTTCCCCACGTAGAACTTTGGGCTCTACTTAATCACATTTTCTTTAGTGTACAGCTTTTGCTTGAGTATGATGCACCGTATAGTAAAGATATATTCTTTTCGTTCCAAAAAATTTCAATTTAAATTTTTATTTTGGGAAAGAGTGAGTATCAATGAAAAATCTTGATAAGAGTTAAAGAAAAGCTAGAGCAATCTCAACGGTCAGGGCCGGGTACTAAAACTAGGGCTCGAGCCCCCATTTAAGGAGGGCCCCAAAATTTGATAAAAGTGCATTATATAATTATAGAATAATTCTAAAGTTACTTTAAATAAATAATATATGTGACTGAAAAGATTAATTAGAAAAGGTTTAGTATGAATATTATATCAACGAATTTATTCCAAAAGAGTCTAAATATAAAAATTTATATAAAAGTTAGTACGATTTTTTTTACTCATAATTTTCAAAGGCCTCAAATTTTTCTCATCTCGTTCTTATAATTAATCTGTAGATGGAAAGGGCGCTTGTTTTGTTTCTTGAGAAACTTCTCTCCCACTGTAACATTTTGCCATGTTTTCTATTGTATATATGACTTTAACAGCTTAATGAAATGATATATTTCGGCTATAAAGGTTATTAGACAAATTTTGACCTGCTACTCCGTCTCAGATATCAGCTATATCTTTCTCTGAGTCCCAATTTCATAACAATAATATACCGTGAAAATTTTTACCATTCCAAATTTTTCTTTCTTGCTGTTTAGCTATTCACCCATTATCCATATTTTGATGGTGTATCTTCATAGAACCAAAATTAGCAATAAATAATTATCAAATTTTATTTACATAATTATTATAGTCCACATAATTGAACGGATTATGTTGGCTACCTCAATGTTTTGATCTTCTATATAACCAAAATCATAATCAACATTGCTGGAGATTATTTGCGGGATATTACTATCTCCATTCTTTTTTATTTATCGCATTAGGGTGATTCCAATTTTTTTTATATGTCGTTTTCAATTTCTAATGCAACATGGGATATAGTTATTTTTATAATTATTTTACTCTTATCTCTCTCTATTTTTAATAACACTAGTATTTATTCCGCACGGTATGCGGGTTTTTTTCAATATATATATGACATCTCTGACTGAATAATATATATATAAAATAATATTAATAACATAGATTGCAGTTGTGTAATTTCTATTATGATCCCGTTTTGTTATTTTAAGTATATTTGGAATAATTTTCAATATCTGAAATCATCCAATATAACTTATTGTCTATTTATGACTTTATATCTTTTAAAAGTATTCTCTTAATTTTTCATAATGATCTCTCTAAATATTTCTACCATGTCATATCTTTTTGCAAAAGATCACCTATACCATATTCCTGTACTACTTCCTATATCAATCACCAAGATTTTGACACATAGCCCCAACGGGTTCATCCAATGATGGGTTAGGCCGTTAGGGTGCTAATTCATAGTACTTACTTAAGACAACAAACATTTGAGACATGTGTCAACTTCATAATGAAAATTTTTCCTCTAAAAATTCTACAGTACTAAAAAAAGAAGCTACCAATGGTTGACACGTGGCTTCGACTATGCTCAGGAAAATTTACCGCAATAATAATGCATCCTACTTTTCAGAAGGTGGTTATTACATTCAATTTGAAATTTGAAAAGAATTATTTAAAGTAAACAAATACATAATCCCTCAATTACAGGGAGATGAATGTTACAGTTATTTGTGATAAAATCATCAACATAATTGTGATAAAATCATCAACATAATGCCTTTGATACATTCAAAATCAGATTTCAAATCAAACTTTGATTTTCAAAAGACACATGATAGATAAAATCCATACTAATAACTAATCCCCAATTTTTTCTCCAAGAAGCCGTCAGAATCCCTAAAATCAGGACTCTATAACTCAATATACATCAAATTCCAATCTTCCTAACCAATTTCAATTTTAAAAAGAAGGCAAAAAAAGATAAATCATCGCCGCTTCTCTCTTTTTCTTATTCGTCCTCTCAAATTCGATTCGATTTGGCTGTTTGAATCAGAAGATTCAAACAATCAATTTATCAGGGATGAAGTATTCATTAATTCAAAGACGTTGAGTTTGGCTTCAGTGAGGGAATTGAAGATGAGAATAGATTGTGATTCTCCGAGGGTGACAAACTAGCGATGGGAGGAGCCGCAGTAGCGACGGTGGCGGTGGAAGTCTACAGGGAGGATACACCGATTTTAATTTCAAATCTCAGCTTTGGACGGGGAAGACAAATACACCGGCTGAGCCTTTAAAACCCTCAGCCCACTTTATCTTTTTTCTTTTTTTCTCCACCGCTTCTTCTTTGTCATCGGATTACCGTATTTTTAGATCTGGCCAAAAGGAAGAAAAAATCCCATTGAACAATTGTGGCCACCAATTGACAGCAGAACGGCAACCACATCGCAACGGGATTCTAGCAGCGACACATATGAAAGAGAAGACAAAGGGGCAATGGGAGTCCAGCCATCACCAAGCCAATTGATGAGATCTAGAGAGTAGAAGGGAGAAGACATACAAAGCCAAGGCGAAGGCCTCAGTCACAATCTCACATACGTACGTGTAAGCTTCTTTTTTTTTTTTCTTCTCATATTGGTTCTTTTCAAGTTAGATTACTGGTTATTCTTAATTTGCGAATACTATTTGTTTGTATTTGGAGAACTGTCTATATAATTTGTTATGATTTTGCTTTGTGTCAGTCCTCATTTGTTGGTATTTGGAGAAGCCTTGCTGTCCTTACAACCATGGGACATGCTGCCTCAATGACTCCCCTGCCTCAATAGACATATTCTTGAAGTAGCTCGTGCCCTTCTATTTAGTGGAAACATGCCTAATAGTTTTTGGGGGGATGCTATCTTGACAGCAGCCTACCTAATCAATAGAATACCCAGTCGTGTCATTTCCTTCCAAACACCACTGCAAGTGCTTCATACGACATTTCCTACTTCCCGAATCACATATGATCTTCAACTTAGAGTTTTCGGATGCACCACCTTTGTTCATAATCATGCACATCAATCTAAATTAGCACCTAGAGCAACAAATGTGTGTTCATTGGGTATTCACCCACCAAGAAAGGGTACAAATGCTATGATCCCAAGTCTCATCGTGTTTTTACAAGTCTTGATGTGACCTTCTTTGAGACTACTCCTTTCTATCCTAAATCACCTATCCAGGAGGGGAATATAGGAGCAAACCAAACTGTAGATTTCAGCCTTTACAATGACTCCTCATCACTTCCACAAAATCAGACGAAAGATTTCAGCCTTTACAATGACTCCTCGTCACCTTGACACAACGACTCTTGATCACTTCCTCACAATAACTCCTCAACACCTCCACAAAATGATTGCTCATCATCACTTCTCTTTCCTGACCCTATGCAAGTCACAGAAGAGCAATTGACATCTAAGAAAGGTGCAGAAGAAGTACAATCAAACAAAGAGCTTTTGATCTACTCAAGATGGAAAAAACAAAGTAGTAGTGGCCCCATATCTGCAGCACCAGAGCCTAACCCCGTGACAGTTCCTGAAGCTTCTCCAGAAAAGGTAATGAATCACACTCTTGATTTACCAGATGATGATTTGCCCATTGCACTTAGAAAACAGCCTCGTTCATGTACCCTCCATCCTATTGAAAAATTCGTGTCCTATCATGTGTTGTCTCCAAAATATCATGCTTTTACATCTAATCTTGATAACACCAAAGTTCCGAAAAATATCGAAGAGTATCTAGCATATCCAAAATGGAGAAAGGAAGTCATGGATGAAGTTCAGGCTCTAGAAAAGAATGAAACATGGGAAGTTATTGATAAACCACAAAGGAAGAAACCAGTGGGATGTAAATGGGTCTTTACCGAGAAATATATTGCTGATGGGATGATAGGGAGATACAAGGCGAGGTTAGTAGCCAAAGGGTTTACACAAACCTATGGAATTGATTATACTGAAACATTTGCACCAGTGGTTAAATTAAACACCATTCGTGTTCATCTATCCTTGGCAGCAAATCTTGATTGGCCACTCCAACAGCTAGACATAAAAAATGCATTCTTGAATGGAAAGTTACAGGAAGAGGTCTATATGACTCTACCGCCAGGATTTGGTGGAGAAGGTGGCATAAACAAAGTGGGCAAACTGAAGAAATCACTATACGGGCTCAAGCAATCTCCTAGAGCTTGGTTTGATAGATTTGCAAGAGTGATGGAAAAACAAGGATATACTCAAGGGCATTCTGACCACACCATATTTATCAAGCACTCAGGAGAAAAAAGGAGTATTTTGATTGTTTATGTGGATGATATCATCTTAACTGGAGACAATCTTGAAGAAACAGATAGACTGAAGAGGATTTTGGCTTCAGAATTTGAAGTAAAAGATCTTGGTCAACTGCGGTATTTTCTTGGGATGGAAGTAGCTAGATCTAAGAAAGGCATTTGTGTATCACAAAGGAAATAAACCTTTGACCTTTTAATTGAGACGGGAATGTTGAGATGCAAACCAAGTGACACTCCCATTGAAGCTGGAAAAAGAAATGATGATCCTGGAAGGTCTGTTAACAAGGAGAAATATCAAAGATTAGTAGGCAAACTAATCTATTTGTCTCATACTAGGCCTGATATAGCTTTTGCAGTCAGCATGGTAAGCCAACATATGCAATCACCAAAGGAAGCTCACCAAGAAGCTGTATTTAAGATCCTAAGATACCTCAAAGGAGCTCCTGGAAGAGGCCTACTATTCAAAAAGGGTGGTTTAAAGAAAGTAGAAGTCTTCACCGATGCTAATTGGGCTGGTTCTATTGAGGATAGATGATCCACCACTGGGTATTGCACTTTTGTATGGGGA